GAAGACGAAGAAGCCCCGCCTTCCCATTAAGAGTCTTTGTCATCATAAACAAAGAGAATAACTGCAGAAGACCAATACCCAAAAATAAACACGTAGAACATTTCTTGAACACGCTACAAGACTTAGTATCTGGAAATAATGACATTTTCTGGAAATATACACAGAAATATATCAAAATAATGATTTGTTGTCTTAATTTCTCGAAATAACAACTTTTTCCAAGATTTTAAGACATCAAAATAATACGTTCTTAAATTTCAAGAGCCATTTTGGGACAAATCATTATTACAAGATACCTGTTCATTATTCTGACTTAGTGAGTCATTATTTCAACACAGTATATGTAATAATGTAATAATTCATTTAAAAATGCAGGACATTACTGTAATTGTAATTTTAATTGTAGCTAATTACAGTAAGTGCACAGCAGAATACAGCTACAGTAACCTTGTGGTTCTGGTGAAGTCACAGTAAACAGTAACTGCTACTTTACTGTTATTATTACTTTCACAGTAAATTACTACGAAACTAATGCAACTAAACTCTTTAAAAAGAAGGTTCTTCAAGGGTTCTTAAAGATAGTGGTTCACTCAAAGAACCATGTACACTCAAAAAAACATTTGCATGCATTGAAATGGTTCTTCTGATAGATGGAGAATGTGCTATATATGGTTCTATATGGCACAAAAAAAGGGTTCTTCTATTGTTACAAGCTTGACATTGCAACAAGAGCAGAACCCTTTTGATGCTATATAGAACCATTTTCAAAAATGTTCTATATAGACACATTCATCAATCTCAAGAACCATTCCACGATAGATATAACAATTAATAAACGAATGCAACTACAGTCTTAAAAAAATATTTTTCAAGGGTTCTTTACTAAAGATAGTGATTCTATATAGAACTATGTACACTCAAAGAACCAATTGCATGCTTAAAGGGTTTTTTGGTGAAATAGTTCTTCAGTTTGATGGACAATATGCTGTATATGGTTCTATAGCACCAAAAAGCGCTCTTCTCCTATCAAACACTTGAAATTAAGAGCAAACAAGACAACAAGAGAAATGACAAGAGCAGAACCCTGTTTGGTTCTGTATAGAACCATTTTCAGAAAGGTTCTATATAGACACATTCTCTATCAACAGACAACAGACAGTAACACAACTGAGACTGAGAGCTCTCTCTCTCTCTCTCTCTCTCTCTCTCTCTCTCTCTCTCCTTCTTTCATATACTGTCTCTCGTCCCTTTCATCCTTTTACTTTTCTTTATCCCTTTTTTTGGCCCAGGAGAGGCGCGGAGGTGCGAGAAGTCATTTTTTCCCTGCCCTAATAAAAGTAGAAAGCCGAAATGTATTTTTAGACAATATTAAATATTGATTCATCATATGTATTAATAATACATTTGTAATATCTTGTGATGACAGAGCTGTTAGGTGAAAAATGGTTGACTAACTCGGATTATTTTAGCTCTCCTGTGCCGGGGAACGCCACATCTTCACCATCATGTACGGTCATCACCTCAGTCTCAAGCCATTTTCTACATAAATGTGAGCTCAGTGAGCTGATCACAGGTACTGAATGAGGTGTTTGGTTCGTGATGTATGCAGGGATTCCCAAACTGACCCATTTAGATTGTATTTTTTTTTTCTTGTTTTTGCCAAGGCTGGTGGGGGGGATTAGAGCTCAGAGAAGAATGAAGGAATGATAAAAATAGCTTCTGAGGGTCTATAAATATGAGGATGGAAAAGTGTGTGTGTGTGTGTGTGTGCGCGTATGTATGCACGTGTGTGTGTGTGTGTGTGTGTAAAGGCGTGCGAGTGTCTTTGTCTCGGTTGAACAGTGCCAGAAGGAGAACTCTAAGGCAAGTGTTTCTGGAGAGAGCTCAAACAATCTGCCTTCAGTCATGGATTGAAGAGGCTGAGAGAACTGGAGAGAGAGAGAGAGAGAGAGAGAGAGAGAGAGAGAGAGAGGAGAAATTAAGAGAGGAAGAAGTAGTGAGCGAGGGAGCGAGTGTGAGAGAGGGATGGGGAGAGGGATGGAGCGATGGAAGAGGGGTAGGAGGGAGGTGCAGAGTGAGAGAGAGAGAGAGAGAGAGAAGTGGATTCTGCAGTGAGTTTATCTTACTGTTGCACTCTGGCTGCGTTTCTTCCAGCTTTGGAGAGACGAGTTTACTGCTGGGTGGAAAACACCAGAAAGCACCTCATGGCTTGAGGAGCGCTCCTGAATGCAGCGGAACTCTGGAGGTCAGTCTGATGTTCATTTGCCTTGATTAGTTGCTGTTAGGGGGGTTGAAGTCTTTGAATGAAGTCTCACTGAGGGGTTTCTTTCAGTTTTGATAGAAAAGGTTAAGCATTAAGCTTCTGAGTACACTGGAACTTTAGGATCTTGGGATGCAAGATGATATCGGAAGATAATGGCTTAAAAAACATTGTACAGACGTTCACATTTAATTGAAATTTCAAACCAATATTTGTTGACGTACACTAGAAGATAAGAATGTATAGGTGATGCTGGGCGACTGTGCTTAAATATCTACAATTTATTCATTATATTTTATTCATCTATCTATCTATCTATCTATATACACACATATATATATATATATATAAAAAACCATACAAATTTAGTGGAGGAGTGTTTTTTCAATTTGTATAGAGAAATTTATTTAATTTTCAGTCAAAATAACATTTAACCCCTTTAATGGCCAAAGTTTTATTGCACAATTCTATAACCTCAGAATATCTCAACCAGTTTGCATTGATGTCTGTGTAGTTACTGAATAATAAGCCTTAATATGTAATAAATCTGAGATTTTTGAGGAGTTAAAGCTACACTATGTAAGCTACACTATGTACACTACATAATTTTTTTGTTAAAACTGAGAGCAGTAGCATCACTGAGTCAGGAGAAAAAAAACACGCTAAAATATGCCTGAAATAGGAAATTTAGAAGTCAAAGGTTTTGGGACTGATTCGCAGAGGTTTTTTGGACCATGTCACATGCACTTTGTGTATTAGCGTCTAAAAATGAAGGTCCAGCTCGATGTTTAGTTCTCAAATGCAAAATCAACATTTTACTGATGAAAATAAGATGATAATAGTAGATAATTCACTTACCTTCATTCTTCATTCTTCTTCATTAAGTTTTGACTGGGTGCTCTTTGAATTGTCTTTCAATGCGATCGCAATCATCAGATTCATCCAGTTGGGGAAGGGATCCGAAGCACAACCCACGTTTCAAAATGTTCTTCCGCATATTGCGTGCAATTACACATCTCCACCAGAGAGGTCTCCAAATCCCCAAAACTTAAAATCTTACACAGTGCAGCTTAATGGCATCAGACAGATATTTAGATTTGACCAATATTTCAAACAGATATATGATGCCATATTTATCATACACTGGAAGAGTAGAATGTTTAGGTGATGCTGGGCTGCTGTACTAAAATGCCTGCATTTTATTCATTTTACTACATTTGTAACCCTCTACTAATAAACGTTAGATTTCTCTGTAATGCCAATACAGATAGATGTGATTTCTACATTTTATCAATGTTCATGTATCAGTATCAATATTAATATGTACATGAAAAATATCAGCTTTGGTCCACGATTCCCATATTGGTGCATCCGTAGAAGGTTCATTTGGTGTTCATTTGACTTTATCATTTGCCATTGCTGAAGAGACGTTTTTTCATTTTTCTGGAAAAGGTTTATAATGTAGTATAATGAGTTATTGTTTACAATGCAAAAGTCAGAGACCACCATTCATTTCATTTCCAGTCAAAATGGCCATTAAGTACAAGTTCATTTTTCAATGTGAGGAAAAAACAGAAAACATAAATTTAACAGAAAATTATGCAGAAGCCACAACAACTAAATACAGTTTTTTCCGTATTCACTGTGTCCACTCTTTGTTTTACAGCTTCCATTCTTTTCAGGAGACTCGCTTTCAGTTTCTCCAAGAAATCTGAAAGTTCAGTCTTAGAAGTTGGTCGCATTTTCTGCTCCTTACAATCCAAGTAATCCCGAACACATTCAGAGATGTTGGGGTCTGGACTCTGGGTTCTCAGGTTCTGAGAACACCAGCAGCTTGTTTGTTTGACTTGCAAACATTCTTTAAACATTTTTAGTCTATTTCCTTGCAGCTTTATTACAGCTACACATCCTTTCAGACCCATAGTGTTGAGTTGTCTTCTCACAGTTGAAGGATGGACAGGAACACCTGTGGATGTTTTTAGATCTGAAGCAGCTTGATTTTCTCCTCTTTCTCAAAGATGAAAGCTTTAAGTGCTGTTTATCTGATGGGGGCAGTTTTGGTGGTCTATCAGGTCTTGCAGGTGGTTGTTCGGAGTCCCATTTTCTCTGTATCTTCTCCTGTTTTGTCACTTACTTTCTTTATAAAATGAATAATCTTATATCATATCTCCTGAAAACATATACCTAAAGGCTGTTTTGTCTAGACGCTAAATGGTCTCTGACTTTGCAAAGCGCTGTATGCATATGTATGGGTGTCTGTTTGTCTGTGCACGTACTTATTGTTTACTTGCTTTGTTCTAGGGCAGCTCCAGATGTGTGAAGGGAAATCACCTCAGGGTTTCAGCCTGTCTGAATGAATACATCTCTCTCTTTCTCTCATCTCCCCATTCAGTCTTCTCTCTTATTCTCTCCCAACTGACCATCGTAGCTACTTGCCATCTTAACCTGTATCCATTCTGCTTTGACTCTCGCACATGCCCATAGAAAATAGTGATGTATTGAAAATATGTCACAATATGCTCTATTTACATTTGAAAAGGTACTCACTACACATATCATATCTATTTCACCAGGTGTGCCTCATCAAAGAGCCTCTGATGTGAATATTCTGCAGAGTTGAGATTCTCCACAATGGACTGGACGCGTCTGAGCTGCATTTTGTTATCTCACTTCTGAGTCGAGTGCTATGGTGTGTTTCCCTGGACTGTGGACCGGCTAATCACATTAGCACCGGGCAACCATGTCTGACGAGGGAGAACGAGTGAGGACTGCTGGCATGACGTCTTTGAATAGGAGTACCGGCGAGTTCAGATCATCTGCCATTACCGCTGACCTCTGTCTCCCGGGGCTTCTGGGTAAGGTGTTCTTCAACGACTCCAACAACTGCAGCACCAGCGAGGATGGAAACGTGACTCTGGGGTCGCTTCGTGTGACCTCTGGCTCCACGCAGAAGAACTGGGTGGCGCTGCTGATCCTGCTGGCCATCATCGTCACGGTAGCGGGGAACATCCTGGTCATCATGGCGGTGAGCTTGGAGAGGAAGCTGCAGAACGCTACCAACTACTTCTTGATGTCGCTGGCCATCACGGACATGCTCCTGGGCCTGCTGGTCATGCCTGTCGCCATGGTGACGATACTTTACAGTGAGTTGCGGAAAATGCTGTTCTGAAAATTTGTAGTTTATTAAGATTTAAAGGAATGTTTCAGACAAAAAAAAACAGTTTTTCACAATTTTCCACACAGATGTAATCAATCAGCCAAGACATGTTTGTGCCAAATTTTGCGCTGGGCTTTAGTGCTGGAGCTAACATTGCTAACATACACTAAAAACAAATAGTCACCCAAATTTTTCTGTAAATATATCCTCAAAAATTCTCTCAACCTGCTCATTAAGGTCTTCATTAAGGTCAAAATACGACTAACTGTGAACTAGGAAAATAAACAAAACTTCACTGTCTAGCTGTACGTGACGCCATTTTAGACAGCAGGTGTTGTGCTGTTGTGTTTCTATTTTTAAACGTATATCTTCAATTAGAAAATTTGACATTAACCATTGTTTATAAACAGAAACAACATAAATTGTAAACGTAATCCGTAACATCCGTATGCCTTTGTGATATGCATGCATGCGAATAGGAGTAACTTGTTTAATATGGCTCCCATATTCAGCTACATGGTGATGTTTTGTTTATTTTTATAGTTCACAGTAAGTCACACTGAGTGCTAAACCAAACTGAGCAGTCTGAACGACCTTAATGAAAAGCTGGATGTGGTTTGAACAGTTTGGGCCAAGTCTTTGAGGATGTATTTACAAAAAAGATTTGGGTGACTATTGACTTGCAGTGTTTGTTACCTATGTTAGCCTCTTGGCTCCAGTGGTAAACTAAAAAAGGAAAATCTGGACACCAAACACATCTTTGCTGATGGACGACATCTGGGGTATGTGGAAAAGTGTGTAATTTTGATTTTTCTGCTTATTATTTATGGTTAGTGATTGCTGTATACTCGCTTGTGTGTGTGTGTGTGTATGTGTGTGTGTGTGTGTGTGTGTGTGTGTGTGTGTGTGCGTGTGCAGTCATATGCAAAAGTTTGAACACAGGTTTAATCACATGTTTTGTTGATTTTCTATGTGAAAATAAGTTGACACATCCTCTACAAGGAATACACTTAAATATGGCATCTGTTAATTTTAATTCACAATTTCTATAAAATATAAAGTATAAAATGTGCCATAACTTTTGCACAGGCCAAATTTTATGTTTTATTTTTTTCCAATATGTTAAATTCAGCAATCATGCATTAAAATATGCAGAAGTGTGTTCTCTGTAAAGGATGTGTATCTTATTTTCACTAAGAAAAACAACATAACATGTTATGTGACCAGGGGTGGCCAAACTTTTGCACACAACTGCATGTGTGTGAGAAAGAAAGAAAGAAAGAAAGAAAGAAAGAGTGTCAGGAGCGAGAGCTGCTGAACAAAGGCTCAGCACATTTTGTAGCCAAATGAACTCAGATATGTAGATTTCACATTTAATAATAAAAAATAAAACATATAATAATATAAATAATAAAAAAAGAAGTCAACACAAAAACATCCCGTTTTTCCTCAATGTAATATTAATATCCTAGTTTTCTGTAGATCAAATATAGAAACAATGTCAGCCATCTGCAGCTCTTAACAGTTCTCTTCCCAGTGGGTCAAAGAAAGAGAGGAAAATGGCAGAGATTTGTTTACTTACAGAGGAATCAACAGTTTAGGAAGGAAAAGAAAGACGTTCTTCTTTAGACGGACCAAAGCAGCCTGGAATGTGTTTGTGCTAGTGTGAGTGCGGACTGGCGGCATCAGTCTGAATGGGAAGTGGGACACATGCTCTCGCTGAAAGACCCTCAAATGTGTTCCACCTGACAGGCCACAAGAAAAATCTTCAACTGTTATAACTGAATTGTTTTCTCAGTGAGTACTGAGTAATACAAAGGCTGATATTCTGATACCAACAGCGACACCAAGCTATGCTATTAAAAGTCTTCTTGTGCACATCAGAGGAGCATCTCTGCGATTTCTGCAGTGTAAATGTGTGATTTGGTAAATATGGAAGAAGGCAGGCAGAGGAAGAGGGTGGAGGGACAAGTAGTTTCTATCCTGACATTTATCAGAGACGATCAGTTTTTCACTTTTTTCCGCTTCACATACACATTTAACTTTATTAAAACAAATATAGTAAAATTACTGTTGGAGGAAATCACTTAATATTAGGAGTGAGCGATATGATATATTATTATTACCTGATTTCTTAAAGACAGATTGAGATCAATTATAGAGAGGCTCTAAACAACTACAACCAGTGTATAATAATTACATAAACTGCATAGTAACTAACAGCTGACTGGATAACACCCCCACATGACATCATCTTACTTTATTAATTAAATTTTTTATATTTTATTTTCCCCTCTTTTTCTTCAACAGTTTATTCTTTGCAAATTCTGAATAAAAAAATATATTCATACCCATGTGCAAATGAAATATATTTCCATATATGTATATATATATATATATATATATATATATGTGTGTGTGTGTGTGTGTGTGTGTGTGTGTGTGCATGTGTGTCAAGTTTGTAATATATTTCCATATTTGTTAACATATCACGAAACAAAACCTTGTATCTCCAAAATGGTAAAGGAAAAAACATACTTTACTTTTAACGTAAGTCAATGGAACCAGACTTTTTTCCAAGTAATTTTGGGTCATTTCTTTTGGTCCATTTATCATGAAATTTATATACAATGTTAAGGACAACAGGCATTTTCAAATTTTAACTGAAAAACGTCAAAAATGGAGCTATGAGTTTTGTTCTGACAGCAGCGATATATGTAAATATTCACACTATTACATACACTTCATCACATATGTGCATATATTTCAATATATTGACATATATGTGCATAATTGGCATATATTTAAATATGCGAAAACAACACAGATAAGCAACGTTTAGCAATTGTATTTTACAACATTACATATATTGAAGATATATATTTGAATAAGAGCAAATACATGTACATGTATGCTGTTATTCTTTTCAAAAACTTGTTATACCCAAAATTGTTACAGATTAATAAATGGCATTTATTCATTTATTCATTCACATATTTTTTCTTTATGTGTAGAATTTTTTATATGTGGCACCACAATAATTTGCAAAGCTCAGTACAACTAAATATTGTGCATTGTGAAAATGCCTTCAGGTATTATGATGTTATACCTTTGCCATATCATACACTCCTACTTGGTACTAGGGGTGGGCAGTTTGATGATATTATTCATTATCATGATAAATTACGTCCCATTACGCCACAGGAATCTTTTCTAAGCATACTGTAGATATCATCAGTATTTAAATAAACACAGAACAAATACATGTTTCATTATAAAGAGAGCATATTTAAGCTGTTTAATTGGATTAAGTGCAGTGTAGTATGTGAAACCTGAATAAAAGTCATTGTATTGTTAGTTTTTGATAGTATTTTTTAAATGTGGCACTACTGGTTTATTTTTATTGTTCCAACTTATCAAATCTCAGAAAACCGACATAACATGATGCATATTGTTCATTGTGAAAGCATCTTAAAGTATCATGATGTCATATTGCTGCCACCCCTACTTGATGTTGCTATTTTCTCAATATCGGGATCGGAAGTATCAGTGTGCACATTCTCACCAACGCAGATGTAAAATCTGAGCGTGAGGAATAATGATGCAATCCATGTGATGAGTGGATGGCGTGTTTGGGCGCATAATCAGTCTTTTTTTGGCCGTGTGGAGTGGCTGGAATTAGCCCAGCTGTGTTCTCGCGAGGGCGGAGTAATCCCTCCCCCTCCTCCCTGCATCTCTTTGATGTTGGATTAATTAAGCTGTAATGATGCTCCTCTGTGCTCCATGAGCACGAGGAAAAAAAGCAATACTGACACTTCTGGTTTGATGATCTGAATAATTCGGCCTGTGGACAGGAAAAGAGCCACTTCCAGTGAAACTGTGCTGAACGTTATTGGTGCAGTGAGAGATGGGCTGAAGTGGCCTACTGACAGCTTTGCCTTAACGGTGAAGGTGAATAATTCATCTGCTGCCTTGACCAATTTCATAGGAAGCACTGCAGGCCTTGATCGTGTAAAGATAAGTGATATTAAACATGAACAGCTGGTTCACGACATGGCGACACGGTCATGCTCCAGAAGAATAATACAGTGGAGCCAAAACACAAAATAAAACCCTACAGGCCGTCAGTCACTATTCTCGCTTCTGTCCGCTGTTTTCATCACTATTCACTTCCCTGTACCCAGCGTCCATCATTATTCTCTTTCCTGTCCTCTGTGTCCATCACTATTTTTATTTCTGTCTATTATGTCCATCACTCTTTTCTTTACTGTCCACTACAGTACCAGTCAGAGGTTCAGATCACCAGACTCTGTATGTTTTTCAATAGCTTGAAGACATTTTGATCTAAAGGCATGTCATTAGGAGATATTCAGGCCAAAATGGAAAAAAATAACCATCACTACATCTGTTATAAACACCGGCTCTAGAGCAAGATTATCTGGTTTAAAAGACAAACCGCCCCCCATCTGCTGTATTTTCAAGGTGGACAGAACTTTTGACGAAGTACAACTGCTTTGGTGTGGATTTGTGGTGGCAGAGTGTTAGCGAAATGGCTAACGTTACACTGCTAGGAAGCTAAACCTCTTATTTCAATCATATTCCTGCGGTAAATGTCTTTAAATCATCATTACAATGGAGAGAATGTATAATTCAAACAAATGAAATGACTTGTTAGATGAGGAGGACAACAAGCTAAAAGCTAAAGTTACCTGGCTATCTAGATACCTTACCTCAGTTTACCTCCTTTTCTCTTCAGAATCATTTGAATTGTGTCTTTGATACAGAAAAAAACTTTACTTGTTCAACATCTGTGGTAAGAGTTACACTAATGTTATACTGCTGCCTTCAAGTTGTGTCAGACATATTGTATTTACACACAATTGCCACAAAGTTGTAATTACAACTGCTTTGGTGTGGATTTTTGGGGAAGGGCGTTTTTTTTTTGTTTAGCGAAATGGCTAACGTTACGCTGCTAGGAAGCTAAATAGCTTACTTTAACCATATTCCTGTGGTAAATGTCTTCAAATCATCATTTCAATGGAGAGAATGTATCACTCAAACAACAGAAATGGCTCATGAGATGAGGAAGACAACAAGCTAAAAGCTAAAGTTACCTGGCTATCTACATACCTTATCTAAGTTTAGCTCCTTTTCTCTGAATTTATCTTTAGCAACTGTGGTAAGAGTTACGCTAATGCTATTTTGACTGTATTTATTAGCCCTAAAATCAGTGGCTAGGCTAGCATTATGACTGGTAGACACCACAGGGATTATAATAATGGTTAAATTAATGGTTATTCTGCTGCCTTCAAGTTGTATCAGTTGCGTTTTTACAAAATGAGCGCACAGGAATGCTGCCACAAAGTTGTAATTATCAGTGGAAGAAGTGGAAGTTTAGATTTTTCAGCCCCAATTTGAACCAAAAACTTGATTTGGACTATGTATGTGCAGAAAAGGTCATTTCCCGTATTGTTTTATGATGTTCCTGCAAATGCATAGTTCAAATCATGTTAGTTGACGTACATTTTCAAGCTCCAACTCAGAAAGGCATGTCAGCAAAAAAGCAAAGGTTGCTGCTTGTAGTTATATTGTAAATGGGGTATATTTTAGTTGTTCTGTGCCACACATGAGCACTGCAGGCCAAAATCTTTCATTAATGCCTTAAACCCTATTTGAGCTGGATTAGTTTTTCCTTGAGGAGGTGCTGTAATTTGAGTGATTACTGATGGGACCCATGATTTTAGCAAGTCTGCTAAGAAATAATTCTGAAATGAATTACCTGAAGTGAACCCTGAGCTCCCTCAGTAATAGTAGTCCTGTTAGAATCAACCTAGTAATATAATAACAAATAATAGGTAATAGAAAATGGCGCCTCCTTTTTTTTTTTTGTGACCTGAAGATGAGGCTAATAGCTAAATAGAACTTGATCTTACCCAATTCCTTAATCCTCAAGTTCAGGACCAGACTACTGAAATACACAACAATTCTGTGTATATTACCTCCCATATGCTATGATTATGCACTGTCATTTTGAATGGGCATCATCTCACATTGGAATGAGATGTAAACTCTCCTCCCTCTTCCAGGGTTGCTTTTTTTTTGGGGCACCATATTTGCCAATTTGCCGCACATGTTGTTACTTGGAGTTGTGGCCTTTCGTGTAATGCTGACATGATGATACTGATGCTATTTGGGGTCATTTGTGGGAATTACAAAGATCCTTTATCACGTATGAATTGACCTGTCAAATCACACAAAACTTATATCATCAGACCATCTCTGGTAAAAATAATCCAGCTTGAGTAGGGCTTTAATCTCATCCGCAAGTAAACAAACTGGTTGTGCATATGCTGTGTGATGATCCTTTGGTCTTCATTTTGTGGCAGCAACGCAAAACAAACTTAGGCTGGCTTTACACAGTGAAACATTCAGGCAACTAAAGTTGCATAAACCTACAAGAAACTAAATTGCACTTGAGTTGTATAATGTAAAGCGTTCTGCAACTCATCGGAAACTCAGCTGCCACATTTTTTAGCTTTTCAACTTTGGGAAACAAGTTTTAAGAAATCAGCCCATCAAAACAGCAACAATTCATCACGTGATGCTAGCTAGCACAGGTGTCTGTTAGCTAATGTAATAGAACAGGCGGGTTGGTATTTTCCTCTGAGCATATTCAACTGTCTAATGACGTTGTGTGAGCGGCAGTTCGAAAAGATGTGTTGGCACTTCACAGGTCTCAGAGGAAGCCTGTGCTAGCTTTCACCCTCTTAGCACCGGTGGTATCGTGTGATTGAGCGAGTTATAATTAGTGGGTCAAATTGGATTCATATAAATCGGGGAGTAAATTGGGAAATATTTTTCATTCAAGCTTTGCTGGATGTTTAATGTAGCAGTAACAGCTTCCATTCTTTTTGGCAGACATGCTTTCAGTTTTTCAAAGAAATCTTTTTAATGTATTCTTCCACACCTTCAAAGTTCACAGTCTTAGATGTTGGTTGCATTTTCTGCTTCTCATGATGCAGTTAATCCCAAACACAATCAGTGATGCTAAAGTCTGGACTCTGGGGTGGTCAGTACATTGTCCTGAGAGCACAGACTCATAGTACTGAGTTGTCTTTTCACACAAGGGAAGGATGGACAGAAACGCCTGTGGGTTTTTTTCAGATCTGAAAAAATCTGATGGTCTGCCAGGTCTTGGACGATGTTAGAAGTCTCATTTTCTCTACATCATTTTTGGATACGCTATTTTTAGCATATCATGGGTATAATTTGAGTGTCATAGTTAACACTGACCAACTGCATGTTTTATTAAAAAGAGATTTAATCAGGGCTCCCATGTGGTGTAGCTGTATAAGGCTTTGGTGTATTCTCATGAGATCTCACGTTTGAATCCTGACGATACCAGGAGCCCAAGAGAGTATATCAGGCCTTGTTTAATTGGATGTAGTGATGTGCAGTGTTGCATTAGATATTGAATAACAAAAATCACTGTATTGTGTTTAAAACCAAATGTTAGGCATCACTATTGTTTTTCTAGTGCATTTTGTCTGTTCCAATTTAAAAACTAAATACTGTGATAGACATTGTGGATTGTGACATCTTCAGGTATGACAATTTTATATGTCTCGAGCCTCCTCACCCCCAGAAATGGGTCATCCCCATGTCCATGATGTAATGGTCTTATATAACAGCGTCAGAGTAACTGAATTCATGTGGAACCGTGAACACGTTTAGGAGCACTCTAAGTTAAGCCTGCTGTGCTGAGGAGAGTTTTATGTACTCATGGATCCTTCTGTGCCTTTTCCACAGTGTTACTGAAAGGCTGCAATGAACTCAGTAGCTGTTCTCTACATTCAAGTCTTCTCCAACGCTGCCTTCCCGCCCAATCTCTCTGGACGCATAATCTTTCAAAGTTCAAAGCAAAGAAGAGAGAGTTGGGATCTCTCTCACCCCCCTGCCCCAGACGCTCCCTCGTTCTATTCAGCAGCACAGTGTGCTAATCCTCGTTAGACTTTTGTGCTTGGTTTGTCAATGAGGAAAACCAACCCCGTCTCAGATGATGAATCATCTCCAGGGCTTAGCCGAGAAGGCAGCACTTATTTTAGATCCACAGGCCGTGGGCCTGCGTGATGTAATGCGCCCTGACAAAGAAGAAGCATGCCTCAGCATTTTTTTGGATATTAGTCCCCCGTTTCCACGATTTCAAGTCTAACTCTATAATGGTTACAGCCCAGACAGTTTCCTCTGGTGGGTTGCAGGCAGTGATTTGCTCTGGTGTATGAGAAGCTTAAAGGAATTACACGCCAAAGTATTTTTCATTTGCCTTAAATGCCTATTACTGATATTATGACTGATATTGTGAAACAAAATCCTTCTACTGTTCCAATATACAGAACGTTTATTGTTTTTGATACAGCTTGTAGGACATTTTCACACCAAGAATAATGATTGACAAGTGATGACAAGCCATTATAAGATAAAGGCACTTTAAAATGAGCTAGAAATCCTCGAGTCATTTGGGACCTTTCACGGCTAAATAATATCATCATTTGCTCCTATAAAAGAGCAGATTAGCCTGCATGCACTGGGACGATGACTGTAAAATACTCTTTTTGTGCAAGTGGAAATAAGTGTGAGTGGTCAAATGGTCACAAGTCATGAGTAATGGGAAAATCTTGACATTCCTATTCCTATATATCTGTTTCTCTGCATACTTTATTAGCCCCTTTTCACCATATTCTTCAATGGTCAGGACCTCCACAGGACCACCACAGAGTAGGTATTATTTGGGTGGTGGATCATTCTCAGCACTGTAGTGACATTGACATGGTGGTGGTGTATTAGTGTGTGTTGCGCTGGTATGAGTGTAAACACCTCAGTGTTACTGCTGGACTAAGAACAGTCTACCAACCATAAATATCCAGACAACAGCATCCTGTGACCACGATAAAGGACTAGAGGATGACTAACATAAATTGTGCAGCAACAGTTACAGTCTCTGATTGGTGGACCAACAAAATAGGAATGTATAATAGAGTGGACAGTGAGTGGACACAGTGTTTAAAACTCCAGAAGCACTACTGTGTCTGATCCACTCATACCAGTGCAATGCACACTAACACACCGCCACCACCATGTGCTGAGAATGATCCACCACCCAAATAATACCTGCTCTGTGGTGGTCCTGTGGGGGTCCTGACCATTGGTGAATGGGGTAAAGGTGGGATAGCTAAGTATGCAGAGAAACAGATGGACGACAGTCTGTAATTGTAGAACAACAAAGTGCACGTATATGGTAAGTGGAGCTGAAAATGGGCATTCATTGTAGATACAAGGTAGGTGTACCTAATAAAACGTGTGTGTTTATTTTCACGCTCTTGCCTTAATGCATATCAAGTTGTTAAGTAGTTTAAAATAGACTTGCTTACATGGTTACATACTAATCATTTCAGTATTAAGCTTATATTACTTGTGAGATGCATTGGCCTCATAGCTCAAAGCAAACTTTGACACCATGACTTGGCTGATCGACTATACTTGTTATTTAAAACTGTATAATTTTATTTTTGCTGAACTATTGGCTTTATAGAACAAAACTATCATCTCTGACTGGGCAAGAACAAAACTTTAATCCAGTTGTTGATCTTATTTCTATATTAAACCACACATTAACAATTTGTGCACTTGAGCAAAAAAGACCTGTGATACACAAATACAGCACCCTCTGCTGGACAAAAAGTAATCTGGGCAACTTTAACATTGAAAATCTTTGAGCAAATCTGCCCCATAGAGTATCAGGCACTCTTCTCCTTTCCGTGTCAGGAATGTCTTGACAGTGTCTCTTTATACCTGCCTTGCAGATTACACATGGCCCTTCCCCTTCGCTCTGTGTCCTGTCTGGATCTACCTGGACGTACTGTTCTCCACAGCCTCCATCATGCACCTCTGTGCCATCTCTTTAGACCGCTACATCGCCATCCGCAATCCCATCCAACACAGCCGCAGCAACTCCCGCGCCCGAGCCCGGGTCAAAATCACTGCAGCCTGGACCATCTCTGTAGGTGAGCATGCCATGTTGTCAGTTTCTCCTTTTACTCTTTTGCTCCTATTTACCTACAGTTCCAGGCAAAGGTTTGGAGACACCTGATCAAATCTTTACATAATCATAAAGACATTTTTGTTCTGTGGGAGAACTTCAGATAATTCTGAGATTCAAAGTTGAGGTCGTTCTACTTCAGAACCTGTAAGTGAGATGGTATATTATTATATACCCTCTCACCAAATCTCTATCTCTTAGTGCTTTAATTGGCTCTTTTTGTTTTTACCCAGTTTTCTCTCCAGTTTGGTCATTGCCAATTCCACCTACTAGCTAGGTTTCCCCCTTTCATATGATGCAACCAGGCTGGCATGTTTCCTCTGAGACACTGCATCTTTTTGAACTGCCTCTAATACAACATCAGCACCATCCTACCCACCCACAGAGAGAGAGAGTGAGGCCAAATATGGCCGTGGCACCACCAGGAGTCGAACTTGCAATCCCCTGATGATAGGGCCAACGCTTAGACAGTTGTGCCACTTAAGGGCCCTGGGCCTAAAATTGTCAAGAGTAGCCCAACAAAATTATATGATGATAAAAGTATTAAAGTGAAGGGAAATGCAGGCAAAAATTGTTGCAGGTGTATCCAATCCCAACAAATATTTGAGAAATGATGTCAGACAAATATTGCAAGCTCTACTCTCTCTCTAGGAATATCCATGCCAGTTCCTGTCCTTGGCGTCCATGACCACTCCAAAGTCTTCCAGGATGGCAGCTGCCAGCTGACGGACAACAGCTTTGTCCTGATCGGTTCCTTCGTGGCGTTCTTCGTGCCCCTCCTCATCATGGTGGTGACATACTTCCTTACCATCAGCGCCCTGCAGAGCCAGGCGACGATGTGCTTGGACCAGCTTATGGTGCGTCCCAAATGGCTGTCCATGCTGGAGCTGCTGCCGAGAGGCTCGCTGTCCTCTGAGCGTCTCTTTGGCCGGGGATCCCTCTGTCCTGACTCCATTGTCGGGACCTCCAGGCCCTTTGGCCGACGCACCATGCAGTCCATCAGCAATGAACAGAAGGCCTCCAAGGTTCTAGGTGTGGTTTTCTTCTTGTTTGTCATCATGTGGTGCCCGTTCTTCATCACCAACGTAATGGCGGTGGTCTGTGACTCCTCGGCCTGTGACCCGACGCTCATGGCAGGACTGCTGAACGTCTTTGTGTGGGTGGGCTACCTCTCGTCCGCCGTCAACCCGTTGGTCTATACGCTCTTCAACAAGACATACCGAGCTGCATTTGCCCGCTACATGCGCTGTAGTTACCGGGAGAAGAGGAGGCCACTGCAGGTCATCCTGGTCAACACCATCCCTCCGCTGGCCTTTGACTCCTCCAAGCTCCCCCTACAGGGAAGCATCTCTTTGAGACGGTCAACAGAGGGCAGCGGATCAGGGGGCTCCCCCACTATGAACCAGACAGAGTCTACCAATTTACAAAACAAGTGTGAAACGGACGAAAGGGTGAGTCACGTGTGAAGCTGGAATAGTCTGACTCCAGTCAGCAGCAGTTCTATACATGCAGTTTCAGGGCATGTTATTGTTTTAGGTTTGCACCAGTTAGAGTTAGAATTACTTGTAACTGAAGTCACTAGGGTTGCCACCCATCCAGGATGTCCCTAGAATGTCCAGGTTTTTGGTTGCTTGTCCAGGAAAAAATAATTCTATTCCTGGACTTTTTTTTATCCAGTCAAACCATTTGTATACAAAGAATGGGTTTGATTAGTTAGTCTACCCTCAACTTAGCAACAGTTTTTTGGAAAGGTGCCCTGCTGGTAACATGTTTAGGAACTAGGTAGGACCTCAACAAGATAACTTAAAGATTAGGCTCTCTAACTGACCTGACATCTATCCACTTAGACTGAATTTAGCAAAAAAATCTAGCCAAGGATTGAGTGTACAGGAATTTTACAGGGCTCAGGTCGCAACCCTAGCAGGTAATATTAGCCAGCTAGCGAAGTCAAGGTAGCTAACCTAATTATTTACTAAAATAAATAATAAACTCTTTAATACAAAGGAATAAATTCTGAAATGATCAATGCAAGTCAAGGTTTACAGGACAGTTAAAAGTTATGCTAGCTAGCTAACTACCTAAGTGTTACGCTAGCACAAGATGTTAGTGGGCATAAGTCTAAGTCTAAGCCATGTCATGCTCTGAAACTGCCATCTACTGGTCTAAAACTGTTGGCTCTCCAGGTCTGCAGATATATATCTTGGAATGGTGGCTTTTGTTTAAGGACATGCCCAGTTAAAATGCTAGCAATATCTACTAATGCCACATTCAGGAATTGCTGAAACAGTGCCACGGCTTTCCCACGACTCAGACTGACAGGACGTGCAAATAAATCATATTTTTTATGTGGACGCAGTCCTACAGTAGTTTTGTTTGAAGGCGGCTGCCATTGCAGCAGGTCCTAGGACATCAAGACTGTTTTATGTTTCCCCACGTTGTGCAACATGACTTGAGCTGGTGGAGCAGGTCTGATTCCTCTGATCCCCCCTTTAATGAATGTAACACTACAAAGTGTCTGGCTGGAAATGATGGGACATTTGCTCTGAAATTCTGGGATTTTACTGCCTCATTATTTATTAAGACCTGAAACAGCACTGAAATTGTGTCTCGACATTTCTTTGTCTGCATTGTCAGCTGAAGGCCATGGGAGTGCTGGCTTCATTTGGATAGCCTTCCAAGCTGTCCATCTAACTGACCTTCTTTTTTCATAAAACCTCCATCTGGTTATATTTTCTAAGGAATTTATATTGCATTTTCAGGATGAGCAAGAAGCTACTGATTCTGAGTTTATTTATGTTGATTATCTTTTCACAGTGAGTGGTCAGTACCCTGGGAAACCTAACATTAAAGAATTTTAAAAGATTTTTCTTGTTTACTACTCTGGGAATGAATACTTTAATTAATTCTATGTGGAATTATGAAGACTTATGTATAATGTTTAAATGTGTGTATGTAAATAAATAGACTGTCCTTGATGGTAGAGCTCTATTTCTGACCTTCTTGTGGTTGGGCTAAGTGACCAGTCACTAAAAAGCTGCATCTTGAAATGTTACACATGGCACTGGAATTCCAAACATCATATATCAATGCAGTATTGTGCTCTTCACAATGGAGTATTATGGTCGCTCCTTAAAGGTAACCGAAGAGACCATTTTAGGGCACAAACCGCAACCTAGAAAAGTGCCACTGAAGAATCTGACCAGTCTGGGGTAAATCCTGTCACTACTTGGCTGACAATAGTTCCACTATTTAAAAAAAAAGTAAACAACTTGGGTGCCAAGAGGAACTACGCATACCATAAATCCGCCAAACGTCCATATGAGATCTTACACAATGAAAACTTGGCACATCTGCCTTCACATAAATCACTGCAAAGAGGTCTGCAAACACTGCAGCAGTTGCTTCAATAACTGGCTTTCAGTTTTGGAGGTAATATTGTGCAATGCAACACGTAGCAGTAATGTACTGACTTTTTCCTGTAAGGAATTACAGTCTGCATTCTTTAAATAGGTAACAGTTATTGACAATTAAATTTGAATGTGTTTTGCTTATGTATGCACTACCTGTGCCAGTTCACTGCACTTGAATTGTGGACACTACCATGTAGACTGTATAATGACCATGGGCACATGAGTGGATGTGGTGTTCAAAGTAATATTCTCATTATTTTTGAACTTGCAGCATGTAAAGATAACAAGGACATTAAGGTCATGAAGCACACTTGTGACACAAAGAAAGGTACTTGAGTGTTAAGAGCGCCCCCTTGTGGAGACTCTTCAGCCTGCTAAATGTGACTGGTTAAATGAGTAAGTTACTAGCCACATTTATGAGGTGCTTAGCCTCTAAAACCTAAGAAGTGCAAGTTATACCCAAAACTCAAAACAACTTTCCACCATTCCAGACTCGTAAGCAATCTGTCCATCTGATTAAACTGCATGCTAATATGAAACTCACAGTTAAAGATCCCTGTACTCCGGGCTGAATTTGTAAATGATTAGGTCTTGGAACACGGAGCAGTGATGGATCATGCACCATCTAATATTAGTATGATTAGCCCAGCAGACCCAGGCCAAAATCTCAACTAAACTAAAACCACAAATAAAAATGAACTCACAAAATATGTTTCTTATTTAAAGTTCTGTTTTGATATCGACCAATAAAATTCCAGTTTCACCAATGGATGTTATTGTGAAGTGTTTGCTATATAGTTGTTTGAAAGGTCTTTGTATGCTGTAGCATTAAAGAGGACCTATTGTGCTCATTTTTAATGTCAATAATATTATTTTTGGGGTCTACTGGAATAGATTTTCATGCTTCAGTGTTCCAAAAACACATTATTTTTCTCATACTGTACATCTGTATTCACCCTCTGTCTGAAACACTGTTAGAGCTCCTGTGTCTTTAAGCACCTCTCCCAGTGAGCCCAGTGTGCTCTGATTGGTCAGCTCACCCACTCTGTTCTGATTGGTCAACCACCAGAGCAGTTGAAAGCAGTAGTGGCATCCTGCTACAAGTTCTGCCCGTCTTCTCTCCTGTTCTGCCCCTGTCTTCTCTCCTGAGCAGCTGTAAACGTTGCTGTGGTCATTCTTAAAATGGCGTTGGTTCTGCCATTGTCATTTTGAGCCAGAGTTCAATCCTGAAAATCAGAACTCCTTCTGGCCTCCAGTAGTTGCTGTATGTTGTGTGAGGGTTTGCCAAGCTTGCCAGCAGGCGGGCAGTAAGAATTCTGTTGTGAGATTGCATCATATTGTAACAAAGGGCTGGGATTCCAACGAGGCATTTCAGGCAGCTGAGAAAAGTGGTTTCTTGGGAGAGAGTTACTCGCTGACCTGTATTTTGGGCTTTGTAACTTTGCAGGCCATTTACATGCACAAAAAGCTATATAACACACTAAAGGAAAGAGAAAAAAACAGAAAAGCATAATAGGTCCTCTTTAACATCATCCCTTACTGGAACTAAGGGGCAGAGCCCAAACCCTGAATAACAGCCTCAGCCCATTATCCCTCCTCCACTAAACTTTACTGTTGGCATTATGCATTCCGGTAGGTAGCGTTCTCCTGGCATCTGCCAAACTCAGATTTGTCCACTGCAGATTGCCAAAGAATACATTTGCACTGCTTCAGAGTCCAGTGGTGGCATGCTTTACACCACTGCATCAGACGCTTGACATTTCGCATAGTGATCTTAGGCCTGTGTGCAGCTGCTCAGAAGCCATGGAAGTTTCGACACACATTTCTTGTGTTCATGTTGCTTTCAGAGGTAATTTGGAGCTCTGAGTGATGCAACAGAAGATAGCAATTTTTATGCTCCGTGTTTTTCAGCACTCAGCAGCCCCACTTTGTGAGTTTACATGGTCTACCGCTTCGCTGCTGAGCTGTTGATGCTCCTACATGCTTCCATTTCACAGCAATAGCATTTACCGTTGACCAGGGCATGTATATACATATACATACATAAACACCCACGTCAATCCCTCTGCCCGCACTGAAGCCCTTCATTCCCACTTAAACAGGTCCAGACTTGATTTTCGTGTTTCGAATGCCACAGGCTAAAGTAAAATATTGATGCTTGTATCTGAGCAAAGCGGACTGCGTGGTGAGCTTTACACTATTTAATTAGAGCCATAGATTTTAAACTACATGTTCTACTGCTTAGTTTTTGAGTTTTCAAATAGTATTTGCCAAGTGCAAAATTATAATGAAGCATTACTGGCTATGTTTAGTTCAGAGTAGAGGCAGGGATGGTGACATGGCTGTGATTGGCTATTTCTAACTTTTAAAAACTACTGAACAGACTATTGGTTGTGATTCCTTGTACTTAGCATCTTGATAGAGATTTGTATGTTAAAGTAGCTTAGAAGTAAAGGGTAGTGAAATTGCGTTTTCCTGTAAATAATAAGCAAAGTAATCCCATTACAGTCTGAGAGAAGAAATAACTTTGTAGAAGTGACAGAACGTAATAGAAGTAATAACTTTTTTTGAGAAACAACCTCAGCACTGCTGGCTATAATCCATGTGTATGGTCTTATCAGGCGGAAAGAGGAACAATTGAGTATCTGTGACCGTCATGTGGTCATTAAACGAGGCTCTCCAGCAGCACATCCTTCCAGAGTAGCCCGAGTCTCAGGCTGCATGCTATTCCAGAGTTAGACCAAGCTGAGTCCAGCCATGTCCTACGGCTCCATGGGGGTCACCCAGGGGGTGAGTGGTTTTTGCTTTTTTTATATGAAGTTATTTTGATGCTGGAAATGTAATATTATACAAGAAAAAATGAAAAAGCAACATTATGGATGTTAAAATGCCTGTTTTACTGGCCCAACTCAGCTGTTCTTCAGTACATTTGACCAAATGACAATGCAAAATACACTGTATTAAATAAAATGCTCTCAAGAACATCAGAACTTACCACTAAAAATGCATGAAGGCCTATACATAGTCTCCCTATGGGTCAATAAGCGTGAGTGAGGGCTTAAGTTGTCTTGGCCACAGTCGTAATGCACTTTTTAAATGCAGTTTGAGTGTAGCTGGCCAATTCTTACATATTTAGCCTCTGATTCTCCCTTTGTAACGGTTACTTTGCTGCTGTTCCTGGCGTTCTTCCAGCAAATTCATTAATGAAAAAGGGCCCATTTTAGAATAATACACTCTACAGATGCCAGTATTTGTCTTTAAGAGAATTTGATCAGTGAATACAGGCTAATGAAGTCCATTAGGCTTACAGGTTCGTGCTAGGCATGGACAAATAGAGAACTCAGTTTTGAATTGGTAGTTGCATTTAGCTCATGTGCAGGCGTGTCGCTGCGCCCCCTGCTGGTAGGTGATAATTGTCACAAGCGTTAAAAAGCAGTTCTCCCTGTTGTGCAGTTTCTTATGGCATTTTGTTCAGGTTTTTCTATGTGCTGTTCTAAAGCTATACAGTGTAGCATTGTGTATGCAGTGTAAACAGGGTAGGTGACCTATTTTATCATCATTCAGGGTGGTTTGATGTAAAATGGTACATTATACAGAAATTTACTAATCAGCATTTCTTCACAGTGGTGGTGATAGAAACCACCACTGTAAAGAAATCCTAATTGATAGGGGTCGCAATGTCAACGATGCAAATATAGGCATTTTATTTAGTATCTAAATTGACCAGTGAGTCTACACTTGTCTTCTTAGTTTTCATATGTAATGCTAATGATGGTAAAATAGTCATACATCTGAAAAACTTTGTTTTAATTGGGGACTATATTGCCTTAGAACACACTACATGTCACCTCCATTAAAAAAATGATTTTGGGCCAAAACCTGATCTCATTACAGAACAGTGTCTCAGGAATCAAGCAGCATGTTCGTAATTATTTTATGTAATAGCTTTCTGTGAGGGATCTTTTAAGAGGCACGAAAGTCTTCAAACGGCTGGTTCCTACCACCACCACTGTGAACAGCTCTGACTTCTTATCCAGGACAGAGCATTTCACACCAAAGCAATCTGAATGACTTTGTTTACATCTTAACCCTTGTGTGGTGTTGGGGTCTGTGGGCCCCATTTTCAATGTGGCCTGTTGTTAGTGTGTGTGTGTGTGTGTCTGTGTGTGTCTGTGTTTGTACATGTGTGCGTGTGTGTGAGAGTGAACAACATGGACAGGCTGCTGATTGGCTACAGCTGCTAAAGGAGAACCCCACGCTGGCCACTTGTGATATTTTAAACATCTGGTATGTTTACATAAATTGTTATGCCTGTATTGATTTAAAAAACAGTAACGTGGTGGGTCCACCAGACCACTGAGTAACAAACACATCAACACCGCACAAGGGTTAACCATGTAATTAAAGAGAAAGTTTGAAAAACTGGTGGAATTCTCCTTTAATACCTCTAAAAGCTCTGTCACAGAAGTTATTACATGAAATGGTTATGAATATGATGATACCCCGAGGCACTGATTGGTGGAAGGTACATACAAGGTGTTGTTAGGCAAAATAGTACCTAAAGAAAACTTTCTTTTAAATATCTTATAAATATCACTATTTTACCATTATCATCATTACATATTCTCAGTGCCAGAACAAAATCTTGTATCTCCATTTAATTTTATTTCTATTATATGTAGTATTTTTACCGTATTTGAAAATTCCAACTTTGCTTTACAGTGGAGAAAATTTCAGCATGAATGGAGAAACAGAAATGCTTTAAAATACTTGGAAAACATTGTTCCATTAACTTCCATTCAAAGTTTTGGAAATATGAGCGATAATATACACCAGTCAGCCATAACATAAACCACCTCCTTATTTCTACACTCTTTGTCCATTTTATCAGCTCCACCTAAATACAGGTGCACTTTGTAGTTGTACAATTACAGACCAAGTCCATCTGTTTCTCTGCATACTTGCATGGTCTTCAATGGTTAGGACCCCCACAGGACCACCACAGAGCAGGTATTATTTGGGCGGTGGGTCATTCTCAGCATTTCAGTGACACTGACGTGGTGGTGGTGTGTTAGTGTGTGTTGCGCTGGTACGAGTGGATCAGACGCAGCAGTAGTGCTGGAGTTTTTTAAACACTTGTGTCCACTCACTGTCCACTCTATTTGACACACTCACCTTCTTGGTTCACCTTGTAGATGTAAAGTCAGAGACAATAGCTCATCTGTTGCTACACAGTTTGTGTTGGTCATCCTCTAGTCCTTCATCAGTGGTCACAGGATGCCGCCCACAGGACGCTGTTGTCTGGATATTTTTGGTTGGTGGACTATTCTCAGTCCAGCAGTGACACTGAAGTGTTTAAAAACTCCAGCAGCACTGCTGTGTCTGATCCACTCAGACCAGCGCGACACACACTAACACACCACCACCAGGCCAGTGTCACTGCAGTGCTGAGAATGATCCACCACCCAAAAAGTGCCTGCTCTGTGGTGGTCATGTGGGGGTCCTGACCACTGAATAACAGAGTAAACAAAGTACGCAGGGAAACAGGTGGACTTCAGTCTGTGATTGTAGAACTACAAGGTGCTGCTATATGGTAAGAGTGTAGAAACAAGGAGGTGATTTTGATGTTGTGGCTGATCAGTGTATAAACTCACAGCACGTATAGGTTCTCTAGTTGTTTTGGATAGTATATAAAATGGCTGTATTCACGACCCCTGGATCCCTCAATGTGAAGAAATCTGACTCTGTAAGTTACTAAGTTACAACGAACCATTTCACATCAAACCACTCTGAATGACTTCCATCTCAGCGACTGAATTGTGCAGAAAATTTGAAAAATTGGTGGAATTCCCCTTTAAGTCTTCTCTTTTAACATCCATAGCTCTAAAACAAAATGCTGTAACTCGAGAGTGAAAAGTGTGAACTGCAAAGCAGTCCAGGTGCACAAAAAGTGGAACTAGGACAAAAAAGTTTCCTTTTCTCACAAGCAGAAGCCAAAGCGATCATCTGAAAATAAAAATCTGTCGAAATCAAAACTGCGTTAAGCACACGGCCCTAAAGCGAAGTGACCTCTGCTCAGGCAGACCGTTTTAGACAGTCTGTGCCAGTCAGTGCACTCGGCCTCTCCGCGCAGGTGAGAGTGAGCTGTGTGCTAGCCGGGTGTCGTGTGCAGAGGGGAAGGCTAAATACTCTCAGTCCGCCCTCAGGGCCACCAGTAGGGACCGCGAGCGCGCGGATCACGCTCGAGCGACGTTAGCAGCTCGCGGAGGCTGAAAAGATGAGCCGGCTGGACTCGCGGAGCAGCTTCGGTAAGCGCAGGCGGCATGACCCCGGTACGGAGCAGGTGTGTATGGTGGACTGTGGTCCTCTGTGTCTCTGCCGGACCGAACCGTGTGTGTGCCGTTCAGCACGAGGCAGAGACGGGCCGGTAGAGGGAAAGGTGAGTGTCTGGACGAGCATGAGTGCTGTAAGCTTACTAGAGTGACACGTTCAAATCACTGCCACAGGTTAGCTACTCTGTTTGTTCAAGGCAGGAGGCTAACTGGTATCGTTAATCTAGTTACACGAACTTAAGTATCATTTAGTTGGATTTGTTTCTCTGTTTACTGTTCTTTTTGAGTTTTTTTTTTTTCAAATATATTTTCTTCAAATACGTTTGTGAGGGAAAAAAACTATCCTTTACATTTTACTCTTTCACATTTGGGAGTCTGTTTACTCTGAGTGAAATTAGCATTAACTCCAGCCTTGCTATTTACACTGCCTCCAACTTGTAAATCAGATGTCTGTAACACCAAAACCCTCAATTTTGCTGTAATATAAATACTTTTCCTACTTGCACAGTTGGGAGAAGCTGTGATGAAGGGGGGATCAGAGAAAAAAATTCTTTAGTATTACCCAGAACATAAGTGAGTGCAATTTTCCAAGTGTAAAATAAATAAATAATGAAAATATCAGTCTAAAAGTAACAGTTGTTAAAGGTGAAACATTATCTAGGACAACAGAATGATGCTGGTTGGTAGAGGTGGGAACAAGTCACTATGTTGCAAGTAACAAGTAAGTCTCAGGTCTTCACACTCAAGTCTTGAGTCAAGTCCCAAGTCAAGATAGTTGAGTCTTGATGCAAGTCCCAAATCAGTGAAGGTGAGTCTTAAGTTGAGTCCCAAGTCAATAATCCAAGTCTTTGTCCTAAACAAGTCAGTATGCATTCTTTAGCTAATTTAAGGCCATAACACTGAATAAAGATAACAGTACTTTGATGACATCATGTAAGCAGTATATGGCTGTACATTCATTTTACCTCTCCAACTAAAATACAAAATCCATGGTACACAGATAACTATGATATGCATACTGGTATACACAAAGAGTAGTGTGCTACACATGTAAAGAATGTTAAAAGTACTATTGAACTTCATTAAATGTGTGTGTGTGTGTGTGTGTATACATACACGGCCCACTAGTGTTCACAGTGGTGGTGATAGGAACCCGATCTCAAATGTTTAGTGCCTCTAAAAGCTCCTTTACAGAAAGCTGTTACATGAAATGGTTATGAATACACTGTCTCATGCCTGAAACACTGTTTTACAAAGGTTTTGATATAAGATTTTGGCCTAAAATGTATTTTGTACTTACTTTATTGACAGAGAGATACATGCAGTGTGTTGTAAGGCAAAATAGTCAAAATAGAAGACACATGTAGATTAATTGGCCATTTTGGATTGTAAATAAAATGGCTATATTTGCATTTTAGACACTGCAACACCTGGTTCCTATCATCACCACTGTAATGAAATCTTGGTCTGTAAATTTCTCTAGAATGTTTGACGTCAGACCACTCTGAATAACTTTGTATACATCTCAATGAATGAACTATGCAGAAATTTTGAAAAATCTGTGGAGTTCCCCCTTTAGGAGGTGCTTTTAAAAGTAGACTATCATGCTCGAACTGCTCGAACATCCACAGGGAAAAATATACAGCCAACAGCATCATATGCGTTAGTGCTATTTCACGTTAGATTTGTTACAGGATTGAATCATTCTTTTTTTCCTCTGATATCCAGTCCAGAATTTTCTGCTCATATTAGCCTGATACTGATACCCATCCATATTGATATCTCTAATTTAATTGTATTCTGTTGTATTGGTGGAGCACTTGGACTGCTTTGCTGTTCCTTACATCTCTCAATTCTGAGCATCATTTTAGACAAGGGCTGCCCAAAGGTACCTGTGAGCAAGAGTTACCTTATTCCTATCACCTCATCCAGTGTGTGGTTGTTGAGGGGTTGTAGCCCCAGAAGGCCTTCTAAAATCTTTATCAGGCCCCTCATATGGTTGCTGACACAATTGTACACCCACTACCCACAGAAAAATCCAATTTCTTAAGAACACGCCTCACCACTTAGCTTCTATCAACACAAATCTGATGTCTGTGTATCTCCTCCTTTTTCATAATGCAGCTCATCCTTCATAACTGTTCTCAAACGGCTCCTTCACAGGATATATTAATTATTTATAATTACAAAAAAATCATAACTTATATAATAATAGTGAGTAAATGCCACCATACCCAGCTCTGAATAAAGATCAGTGTCACTGGGTTTGCGATATGTGTGTGTGTGTTCGTTTGTCCGTGGAAGTCTGTCTGGTCTCATCTCCTCGCTGCTCTTCACCTACCTTATTTTTTATCTCTTCTATTCGGTCCAGCCTTCGTAACATTTTAGTTATGAGCCTATAACCCAACATTCAGTGGGTGTGTCTTGAGAGTATGTGATTTTATATTACTGCCCTTGTCTCCAACACTCAATATCCAACTAAAACACTTAGTCCTCAGCTCAGCAATAACACCAGTAATAAGGCACGTGTAATAAAATAGCCACTACCACATCTCTCCTCATCTCATAGCATGGCCCCCTTACAAGCTGGGATCATGTGATAAGTCAGATTTGCCTGGTGTATAATCTGCTCTTTGATGTCCTGGTGGTAAGGGACTTTAGCACTAATACCCCAGTGAGGCTGTGATTAGCCTGCGCTTATGCAGTGGCCCCAGTTCAACACAAGTTCATTCAGTTCAATTCATTCAGTGGACACCCAGTAATGCACCTCCTACAGCATGGCCACTACACCTCGCAAGGTATTGTGAGTGCTGCATATTTTCAGGTTACAAAATCGACAGACATGCAGGAGTAAACATGAATCTTGTGGCCAGTATTAAGAATTTGTGGCCAGAATAACAGAGAAGCATGCTGCAGTACTGAACGCCAGTCACATGCTATTGTTAACTGTTCGTGGCGCCAGTTTTCAAATTCTGAAATCACTATTCGGGTATTCGTTACATGTTGGTTTATGCTGGTCTAGTGCTGGTTTAGCTGGTCACCCCACCATGGTCATGCCAGTTGCCCAGCATACCACCATCAAAACACAACAAATTGCTGTTGTTGGAAGAAAACCTCGTATCTCCATTTTTGACATTTTTCAGTTTTTGGCAAAAAAATGCCTGTTACCCTTTAAATTGTATGTAAATTTCATGATTAATGGACTGAAAGAAATGACCCAAAATGACTTGGGGAAAAAAGTCTGGTTCCATTGACTTACATTAAAAGTAAAGTAAATTTTTTCCTTCTCCTGTAAAGTTAACATTTTGGAGATACAAGGTTTTCTTCCGACAACAGCGATATGCTGGTTTTGGTGGTGATCAGCATATCAACTTCCATTGCTGCTGACCAGCATAACAGCAACTTATGGTCACCAGCCAAGCTTGTCTGTGCTGTTTTTTTTCTGGCAGCGTTGTTAAGGACATGGCTGAGAAGGCAGAGATGTGTAACTAACTAGTCTAACTGATGTTAGCTAGGTCCAGAAGGAGTGAAAATCTATTTCTCTGACATATTACATGTTGCCACATCGTCCACTGAGGAGAAGATACCTTGTGTAGAAGACTACAGTTCTTTATCTGCATCTAGTGACACTTGTTAGCTGTGCTAGCCTATTAGTTCATCTGAAGAGGCCAACATGAAAACCTACTGATTTGCCTCAGCTATTTTTTAACAGTATGTCATGTTCTTCTTTGTGCTGCTGTTTTTGTGCATCACCAGTGCTTTCACCTAAACAGATAAGCCTACATTACTCTTGACCAAAATGTATTTATTTTTTCTCATTGTTTGCCCTAGTGGAACCTGGAGACCAGCTAGACATAACATTGCATCCTTCTCAAAATCATACTCTTCTTCCACTCTGAACATTTTGTCTCTTTTTTTGTAATCATCATCATTATCCAGTTCTTATCCGTGTTCTAAAAAGAACATGTTAGCTGTCGCAGTGGTAATGTTAATATTAATATTACAGCAAAGTTGAGGTAATTTTTATTTCTAAGGCAATTTGTGTCTTACTAAATGGCTGTTTTGTTATTAATGTGGGTATTTTTGAATATGTAAAAAATCAACTGGTGTGATGCATTTTTAAAAGACAGAAAAAACTTCAAGTGACCATCTGCACGACATTTTTAGTGGATAAGATGTGGCTAGCGGCACCGGGAAATAGGCAATGTAGACAATGTAAACGTGTTTTAAATTTGTTCATTCTCTCTATTTTTGCAGGAGAATGGAGGACCTCATGAGACATGGGCCTCCAAGAAACATGCCTTTGATAATCTGGCCTATGAGCCGGGCAGCCCCAGTGAACTCAGCCCAAATTTGGGTCACCTTTCTCGGTTAACTCTCCTACTCAGTGGCCCTTCATCCCCAGAAAGTGCTCAGGCCCTCCACACATGGCTTTCCGCTCTCAGCGGTGTGGTGGCTGTATCTGTTCCTCAGTCTGGTGGTAAAGCTTGGGTAGACTACCACCCATCCACAGTTACAGCCCGAGAGATCCTACAGGAGATCCAGGGAATGGGGTATGGGGTCAGTGAAGTAACCAATGCTTTGTCCCAACCTGGACCGCCAAGGTTGGAGGAAAGCTTGGTGAGGATCAGGGTGGAAGGCATGACCTGCCACTCATGTGTACGCTCCATTGAGGGGCGCATTGGAGCTCTGAAAGGGGTTCTGGGTGTCCAAGTGTCCTTAACTGATAGAGAAGCTGTTATTTGGTTTAACCCCTTGGACGTGAAGCCTGAGGAGCTGAGGGAATGCATTGAAGACATGGGCTTTGAGGCCTTTCTAAAAGATCCAATCCTACCACAGCCATCTCCGGCTCTCCCAACTGAAGGGCTAGAGGTGAGGTTAGGTGTGGAAGGGATGCGCTGTGGGTCATGCGTGAAGAACATTACAGAGAGCTTGTCCGGAATGCTGGGTGTCCAGGCAGTGCTTTTGTCATTGGAAGGCAAAACCATGGGTTTGAAATATGATCCATCTCTAGTAACCTTGGACACAATTAAAGGGGTGTTGGAGGGACTGCCTCCTGGGAATTTTAGGGTAACCCTTCCAGGTCAGAGTCCACAATTATCTTTCCATGAGCCAAAGACTAACGACTCAGTACGCTCTCAGAAATCCTTACCTCATTCCATGGACGACATTCCACTCCAGAAAGTAACAGTTGGAATAAAAGGAATGACTTGCAACTCTTGTGTGCAGTCAATTGAAGGACTGATATCGCAGAAGGATGGTGTGCATTCCATCACAGTTTATCTAAAGGAAGAGAAGGGAATTATTACATTTGACCCCAATCTGACCCGTCCAGCAGAGCTCAGGGATGCCATTGAGGACATGGGCTTTGAAGCTTACCTGGAACAAGGTAAAGTATGCGCACCTACAATGTCCATTCATACCTGAACAATGACACATGTCTGTACTCTCTCTGGACCACAATGGATTTGGGCTAAAAATTGCAAAATTACATTTTGCTGATTAAAGTTAATAAATCCTCTACAGAGAATACACTTCTGTACATTTTAGTGCACAATAACTGTTTATTTGCTGAATATAACAATATGGGAAAATAAACAGAAGCTGTGCAGTAAATAAAAAATGCCATATTTAAGTTTTAAGTAAGTTATTGTCACTTCAAACTTTTGCATATGCATCCATATCGAGTGAACAGTAAGAGCCCCAGTAGGAGCCCCATTATACATAGTCATTTTATTTAGTAATTGCACAATTGTTTCATGACCAGTTGTGTGTCCTTACATTAGTGGTTCATGCAAAAGACATTTAAAAAAGTGTTGGATTGATTCTAGATGTTGCTTTTGCATCTAGAGGCTGTTGCTGTTTTCTGACGACATGAGGAGCAAAGAAATGTGAGGATATCAGTCCACTATAAAGCTGAAAATTCAGAAGACTTTTTCACAATTTTTAAAAATTTCTACATTATTATTGAGATGTAAATAAAGTCATTCGAAGTGGTTTGATGTGAAATGTAAATGTAGAGAAACCAAGTCGTGGTGATAGGAACCATGTCTGTAGCACAAAAATACTCATTTTATCTACTGTCCAAATCAGCAAACCAACGCGTGTCTTCATACAGAGGGATTCAAAAGTCTGAGACCACATTGAAAATTTGGGATTTTTTTTCCCATTTAAACTAAACAACAGAACATGTTAGAATTTTGGAAACATTCAAAGAAAGAAAAGTTATGAGAAGTAAAATAAGGAAGAAAAAATGACATGTCTGCAGTATTTCGAAGTCACTGTTCAAGTTTGAGTAAAATTTGTATCTTCTGTTGAAGCACATGTTCTGATGACTCTCAGAGTGATTGGATCTGCTCATCAGAAGCACAGACTTGTGGAATAACTGTGCCCGCTTGTCTGTATGCTGTCATTAAAGCAAAAGAAGGACATATCAAATACTAAGTAATTCTGAAATTCATATTAAAATTTCATTCAAATTATTATTCAGACATTCAGACTTCTCTTCACATTTTATAATCTAAAGTAAAAGCAAGGTCTTTATTGATTACCGAGCGCCAAAGGCAGTAGCAGTATAAATACAGATGAATATCTGAAAACTCACTGGGCGGCGCTTCACCTTTTAGCAGGTCAGTGACCTGGAACATACGGTTAACGCAACTATGGAGTTTTCAGAGCCAGAAAGATATTGGTGACGAGCCAACTCACTTTTCATTTGCTGAAGATAAGAGTGAAGGCAAAAAGCCTTCAGACCTTCATTACAGGCATGCAGAACATCATCTAGAGAAGATACCCAGCGCCCTGTGATGTCTGTAGGTTACGGTCTTTAGAATTAGAACAAATGTAAATGTAAAACAAAAGCTCAACGTTCTGTAAAGATTCTTGGATGAACCCTTAAATTGGCCTAGAATATTTACATTATCTGAAGGTTCTTTGAACCTTTAAAAGGTTCCTCACACTATCAAATCTTTTTGATGTTTTTTTTAAACATGGTTCTTTTGGAAACAGAAGAGGTTCTTCTATGGCTCAAAGAACACCTTTCGTGGCACTGTTTTCAGGAGTGTAGATCGGCGGTGTCAAACTCATTTTAGGTAACAGGCCACATTACACAAACAATAGAGCTGATAACAGATCAACAACACCTCATAAATGTACTTATATTATCATCATTTATCAGAAAATTACAATGAAAGTTAGTCGGTGTAACGTAAGATGCTGATGATTGCAAAGGATTGCACACATACACCACCTGGCCACTCCACTAAAACCACCTCCTCATTCCTACACTCGCTGTCTATTTTATCAGCTCCACTTATCATATAGAAGCACTTTGTAGTTGTACAATTACAGACTGTAGTCCATCTGTTTCTCAAAGCCCCCTTTTACCCTGATCTTCAATGTTCAAGACACCCACAGGACCACTACAGAGCAGGTACTATTTGGGTGGTTGATCATTCTCAGCTGGTACAAGTGGATCAGACTAAGCTGTAAGTTTGGTCTTCAGCAAAATTTAATTAAAAACTTTTACAGCTTCATGAATGAAATAAAAACAGCTCCACCCTCCAGATGATCATGGTAATCTATGTCGGGCATTATACTCTCCTCAGTAACACCTTTTCATCTCTTAGCCTTATAATACTGACTAATTTACCGTTAGCACTGTTCTCACTTTAGATTTGTTCTGAGTTAAAATCTTTATAATCTTCTTTGCTGAGGATTTTAACTCCAGCCATAATTGTCCCCCAGGTTGTATGTTTGAGAACCCTGCTTTAGATGTAGATTTAGTTTAGTTAGATTAAAATGAACTCAAATTAATTTCCCTTAAGAAGGGAAATTAAACAGATTTCTACATCAGTCATTCAGAGTTGTTTCATTTGAAAGGCTCTGTTTTAGAGAAACTTACCAAGAATCACTCACAGTGGTGGTGATATGAACCAGATGTCTGAGGAGTTTCATACCTCTGAAAGCTACATCACATAAAGTTATTACATGAAATGGGTGAGATTATGGTGCCTGGTGCCTGAGGCATGCATTTTTCAAATAGTTTTGAGATGAGATTTTGGTTTAAAATGCACTTTTTTTTATCAATTCATGGTTGAGAGGTACATGCAGGGAAAATAGTCCTCAATAAAAGCTGTTTGTTTTAGATATACCACTACTTTATCATTATTAACATTACATATGAAACTCAGAAGACATGCAAGTGAGCTGGTTGTTTTGGATAGTAAATAAAAGTGCTGTAATAATGCTGTAGACAATGTGACCAATGGTTTCTGTCATCACCACTGTAAGGAAATCAGAGTCAGTAAGTTTCTCTACAATAAACCATTTTACATCAGACCGCTGAATTGCTGTCGGCATCTCTATGATTAAATTACACAGAAATTTTGTGCGATGAGTGTAATTTAATGTAACTGATTTAGCTGTCATGTGTAAGTCATGGCAACCTAATGAGTCAAAGCAAAACTTTTCCATAAGCCTTTGAGTCAGCTGTTGAGTTTTAAAGAGCATTGACTGCTCTCCATGGTTGGGCAGTCTAATCTCTCAGGCTGAGCACTTTCCCTTCATTTATTTGCAGCCATTATTCTCCTGTTCTCTCATGCCAGTGGCTAAAACTCACATCACAAAGACAACGGCAAATGTTCAATGGGCGAAATCAGTCACTGGAGCTGGCACTGGGAAGTGGTAACTGCACTGTTTTACGAAACAAAAAGGTAGCCTTTATTTCTAGGCTCATAGGCAGTGCGGTGTAGAAGATCGCCTGATGAGCTTATCTGCCCCAGACTCCTCGGCCAACAGATTCTGAAGTGGGACATAGGTTTCCGTGGTTACCGTTCAAGTGGGCATTCTAGAATAACATGAAGTGTTCTTGAATGACTCAGACCCAGACATGGCAACCTTTAAATGGCATGCAAGTGCCAAGAAATAGAGTGAGTGTCTAATCGGATTATAGAGGGCTTATATTACTTTCTCTCTCTCTCCCTCCCTCTGTGTTTCACTGGTGAGGTCGTCAGGATTAGTTCTCAGCAAGGCTGCGTCGTAATTTTAGTGCTTAGTTAAGAGATTACAGAAATGACTTTCTTCACAGTTTAATTCCTAGTAAGTAATTATTGTGGTTGAAGGTAGGGTTTCGCATGTATGCTTCACTGACATCTTTGCTGTCTCTCCATTGAAGATTCTGGCCAAAACAGCCACATCAGGGGTCAGGGGTCAAAGAGAAGCATGTCCTCTAACCCCAAGAACCCGACCCCCCCAGCAGTCAGACCCCAAACCTCCAAATCTCAGGCAGCTTCATTGAATTCAGCAAAAACAGGAGTTCCTGAAGAGGAGAAGACCAGGAAGTGCTTTGTCCGTGTAACAGGGATGACCTGCGCTTCATGTGTGGCCAATATTGAGAGAAACCTGCTCAAACATAAAGGTGCCTGTGTTATTATGTGCACAACCACTCAAACGTTCTGGAATCAATATTTTGAATCACATACAAGCAAATAAACCCCAATTGTCCAGAAAGATGGACAGAGCTGTAAATGTTTCTAAAATGATTGAGAAAGCTGTATAACATTGAGAATGATGTTTATAAAAATGATGGCCAGGGCCCACCGACAGGCCCAAAGCTTTATTAAACACTTCTATAACCCAAGAATAGCTCAGCCAGTTTGCATTAAAGTCCTTGTAGTTACTGGATAATAAGCCTTAGTATGTAATGGGCCGGAGATTTGAAGGGGTTAATCAGACAGTCTAACTAAATCAATCTGCAATGCTCAAAAGTTTCTGTGTATTAAGAACACAGTAAAATATCTGATGTTTGGATAATTATTTGGAATCACAAGGTGGTAAGTACAAAAAAACACACTGCAATGTTACTAAACAGAAAAGTAAAATCTGAAAGAAAAACTCCCAAATACAGGCTAGTTATATGGGGGGAAAATGATAAAAAGACGAGTTTTGCATAGCATTTACCTGCCTGTGTCCTAGAAACTAATCCAGTCTAGCCTTTATGAAAACTGTAACTCTAACTATGGTTTTACAGGGTCCTTATCATGTTGAGACCTTAAGTTTACTGTAGACAATATAGTATAGTGTGTCTTTTACAGCTTAACAATGTTCTATATGGTGCTCCAATAAAACCATTGTTTGGTGTGGGACTATAACATAGTGTTTTTACAATGTGGGGAACGTAGGCCTGTAGTCATGACCACCTTTGTCAAGTCCAAGACTATGACTAGTCAAGATCAAGTCAAAACAGAGTCTAAATGGGTCAGAGACAGAGTCAAGACTGCGATTGAGACAAAATGAGAGTGAGACAAAGTCAAGATTGAGTCCAAATGAGAATGAGACGGAGTCTAGACTGAGTCCAGAAGAGAGCAAGAATCTAGAATTAGTCCAAATGAGAGTGAGACAGGGTTCAGACCGAGTCCAGATGAGATTGAAACAGGGTTCAGACTGAGTCCAAATGAGAGCGGTAATGGATCAAGTCCAAATGAGAAAAATAATGGGTCAAGGCTGAGTCCAAATGAAAGTGAGACAGAGTCAATAACCAAAGTAATTGATATGTGATTCCAGACTTGTAAACAGTCTCTTAGTGTGTGTTTTTATGTTTCTTTGCATCTCTTAATAAGTGTTTGTTTGTGTTTGTAGGGATTAAATCTGTTCTGGTAGCTCTTATGGCGGGTAAAGCAGAGATAAAGTACGACCCAGAAGATGTGGATCCAGCTCAGATCGTCAAGCTCATCTCCGGCCTGGGCTTTGGAGCATCGCTAATGGAGGAGGGTGCTGTTAGTGATGGTGTTCTGGACCTTTCCGTGAGTTTGCTCCAAGTGTTGTAGACAAATTTACAATGCTGCTGTTTAGAGTGGTTTAATATATCACCCAAATGTGAACTTTACCTGCAGTTATATGTGCGTATATCAAAATGTTATGGAGTAGAGATATAACAGTAAGAAGAGGAAGTTCAGCTGACACAGTATGACACACTTAAGGTTATGCTGTATTGACACTGGTGTGTGGTTGTAAACATGAGAAAAAATAGCTTATTATTTGTTATTAGCAAGACAATGCTAACACAAAACTTGACAAACAAAATGTATTTCAACCTTGAGTGTATTATTGCATAATTAATAATTAGTATGCAACACTATCTACCAGTGCAGAATCCCTATCACATTACAAGGTTTAACCAGTGTTGGTTTACTTTAAAATATATTCTGGGACAGGTAACTAATCCTTCTGAAACATACCTGTAATCTGATTACTGTTTTTTCTGTAACTGTAACAGTAAGGTAACAGTTATCATGTCCTGTTTTATCAGTTTTATCGTTTCAGTTTTTGTATCCTGATCATGTAACGTTGTCACATGTATTCTGTTTGTATCCAAATCTGGTTGAAACTAACTGTGGTCGAATGTGCTGTAAATGCTGTTGTTCTGGTTCTGGTCCAGGTGACGGGTATGACGTGTGCTTCTTGCGTCCATAACATCGAGACCAAACTCCTTAGAACAAAGGGCATTCTAGAGGCCACTGTCGCCTTGGCAACCAGCAAGGCTCACGTGAAGTTCGACCCAGATTTGGTTGGAGCCCGTGACATCATCAGAATTGTTGAGGTATATGCAGCTACCCACTGTGCTGGCAAAATACCAAACGTGTTTGCTGAGGGCTTCCAGATCCTTGTTTTGATCCCACATGGGTGTTTGAAACATATAGCTAATTCTCAGTTGATAGTGGTCGCTGTGGTGGGATTGGACCTGAATGAATGATGGACCATCATGTCTTTTACACTTTCTATAAAATAGCTAATGTTACTCAACTTTAGTAATGTGTAGTTTACAACTTTAATTAATGTGCAGTTAAGCACAATGTGCAGTTAAGTTAAACATTAGTGAAATATTTAATAGGTTATTTAATTAAGAAAATAAGGAAGTAAATGCATCAAGAGAATGACATCAGTAAACAGCAAGGGTGTAAAAAAATAAAAAAAGGCACGAAGGTGAAAATTCAGTAACTACAGGGACTTCAGTGCAAACTGGCTGAGCTATTCTTAGATTATAGAAGTGTGTAATAAAACTTTGGGCTCTTTCATAAAACTCTTTCATCAGGAGATCACAAATTTGATCCAAGGCGATACCATAGCTATCCGTGGCAGGGAGATCAGGAGAGCATAATCGACCCATGCTCTCCCAACATCATTCGTTGTGATGCTAACCAACATGGGCTAGCCTTCATTTTGCCGGCATTGTGTGGTGGGGATTTAAGCTAAATTATTTAAGCTCAATGCATTTGTTTTCCACAGTTTTTACAATCAGATGCAACAAACAAATGTGAATTTGCTACATTTTCATCAGTTGTGTTGATGTAAATACATAAATAAATGAAAATAAATCATGTAAATAAATAAAAGCAAAAATTGCATTTAGTGATACGTCATGAGTAATAATATAAAACAGTTATAACTTCTAACGGGTGCTATAACACCTTTAGAGGGCAGTGGTCAGTAATGTTTGTTTGTTTGAGCTTGAGCTGTTTGTGTAATCAGTTGGGAGCTCCTGAGTACCAACAGCTAGGAAGCCAGATAGCTAATCAGCCAGTTCGCGAACTTTAGGCTTGAACTTTAATACTTGCATACTGTGAACAAAACAGGCAGTTAAATTGCTAATCATATTTATTTATTGTCGCAGTTAATTGCGACAGGACTAAATTGGCCATGACCAAACTGGGAGGAAAATATAGTTAAAAAATGACTAAACATTATTAAATTGCTGAATGTTTTTGAAGTCATAATTGTATATTCAGAATATTTTTAAAAAATAATTGTGAATCATAGCAAAATAGTCAAATTGAATCATGGTGAAATGTGAGATTTCGTGATGCACTGACGCTTAAGAACTGAATAAAAAAAACTGTTGTTAAAACCCCTAAAAAATTGTATTTAGATTTGTCCGAGATTTAGAACCGGAGTGAATAGTCATGCTCTCTCTATCTCTCTCTCTCTCTCTCTCTCTCTCTCTTTCTCTCTCTCTCTCTCTTTCTCTCTCTCTCTCTCTCTCTCTCTCTCTATTTTTCTACCTATAGGGTCTGGGCTTCGGGGTGTCATTAATAAAGAACGATGGCTTAAGAAAAAATGAAGGCTTGGATCACCAGGAGGAGATACGGCAGCAAGTATCTCTTTTTGTTTCCACCTCTGTCTCGACAACATTAAGCAAATAAACACATTGAGCGCGTTAACATCCACTTAATGATCCGATAACTGCAGAAAATCAGATTTTGTCTGTAATCCTATCAACACGTTTACATGCACTTGAGTAATCAGATAATGGGGAAACTCAGATTTCTGCTTTGCAACAAGCCAATAAACTCACAGAAGAACGTAATGTAAACTTCATGCCGTGGCTTTTTTTTTATATCGCGCCACTTTACCTGAAAATATGAACATACATCATCTAGAAGCTGAAGAATATTTAAATCCTTCATTTTGTGTTTGGTTTCAGCGCCTCTCCAAAAGTGTTTTGCTGCGTCTCACGGTCTTGCTGCTTGCTTATATCTGGTACCGCCATCTGTTCTCGTGCATGCCCAGACTGAGGAATCCGAAAGAAATCAGAATAAGAGTTTACATGCACTGAGAAATCTGATTACTGAGCTAAAATCCAGCTCTCTTTATCAGATTTCTTGAGCGGATTTCTAGATCAGAGTGTGGTGTTTACATGACCATTTGAGTAATCAGATGACTGTGGGAATCTGATTATGATTGAATTACTGAGTGCATGTAAACATCATTGACACATTCCCAACAATAAAACCTCTCAGCTGGATTTAGTGCTGTTCTGAACTGTGCAATGCTGGAACTCAAATTAAGTCCCAGATACAGAGTGTGAAATTAAGTTTACCCACATATTGAATGACTTGAATGAGAGTGAGTTGATTTTGCTGGTTTTGCTTTGTCTGCAGGTGGAAGCACTCATTCCTCTTCAGTCTGGTGTTCGGTATCCCAGTGATGGGGCTGATGATCTATATGATGGTGATGGACAGCCAGCACTCAGAACATGGAGGCTCCATGCCAGAGGAGCAGAACGTCCTGCCTGGACTTTCCATCCTCAACCTGGCCTTCTTCCTACTCTGCACACCTGTTCAGGTACTGCTGTTGCCTCAGGAGATGGTGTAGTTTGGTAAACATAATTAGTTGTTGCTAGTAGCTCATAGAAACAAAGAAATTCTGCTGGATTCTAAAATTTAAATCAAGACTGCATTTGTGTTTGTAAGTAGAAGAAAATTTATTTTTAGAAATTTTCAACCCTGAAGTGTTAGAATTAAATATTATAAATTAGACCCTAAAAGGATTTTTCAATATTTTAAGTAGTGAGCAATAAATTATTAAATGATATATAGCATCATAAATCCCTTCATCTCTGTTCTTCTGCCCCAGTCTCATCAACCTTGTTCCTCCTTAGCTCTTGTTAAGCCCCCTTTGTTAACCCCCTTGATAGCCCCCTTGTTATGTCCACCTGTGTTTTTCAAAGATGATTCATGAAGCGAGAGCCGCCATGTAAAAAGATTTCCAGGAGTGTGCTCACGTGGTTTTGTTGAGAGTGAGGGGGACTCATTCTCCCCTTATGCAGACAACAGAGACTCAAGTCTCAGTTGCACCGGCAGGAAATACTGCCTATTTTAAACTTTAGTGAATATTTTCCCCTCGTTCAAGAATACAGCGAACTTGTGGCTGTTTTTGTGATTGCTTTGGTTTTGTGAGCATTTTGAGCCTAAACACATATTTTCTGTTGAGCTTTTTAAGAAAAAACTATTTTCTTTGGGGTTTTTATGCGCAATTTGCTGCTGATGTCCCAGGAAACGGGGGTGGGGTGAAGTGGATGGGACAAGACATAAACAGACAAGAATTGTATCACTTTTTGCCCTGATGACTTGAATAGACACGCACCATCTTGGTTTACCTTAAACATGATGTATTGTTTAATTTGTAATCTTGTGCCATAATTACGCCTCATCCAAGCAGATGCTCCCATTATAATCAGCGAAGCTGTCTAGACCAGCTGTGAGTGTCAGACCATGATGCTCTGTGCTGTTGTTAACGAACCCCCCTTTGTATTTTTGAAGCGTTGCATGGCAGTGCACTGATGTTCCACCTCAACAGCAATCCTGCAGTTAAGCCTGACATTTTTCATCAAAACACAGTTAAACTATGATGAGAAACTAATGCATGAGAGCTGTATCCTCTGTTTTTTATAAGGGTATTAACTGACATGGGACAGTTTACAGGGAAATTGCTAGACTGCTGAAAATTTCAGTAACACCAGTGTTTTTGTTATCTGCTACATTTGAACATGTTACACAAATACAAAATGTGTAGCTAAAATGTCCTAATCTTAAAAAAAATATTTAAATTGAAAAATAGACACACTCCCTGAAGGCTTTGCGATGCAGTGCTATATCATGTTACTGTTCCCTCAGTAACAACTCTAGACTTTGGAGGGTTAATTATAGGGGTGTGTATTTATTGTTATTGTGATAAATTACGTAATAATATGCTTTTTGAGTGTACTTAAAGTCAGTACTTAAAGGAGACCCATTATGCTCATTTTCAATATTCATAATTTTGGGGTTTACTAGAATAGACTTACATGCTTTAGTGTTTCAAAACACCTTATTTTTCTCATGCTGTACTCTGTGCATTGTGTGAGGGCATGCCAGGCTTGCCGGTATGCAGGCAATAAGGAATGTGTTATGAGATTACATCATCTTGTAAAAAGGAAAATGGCTCAAATTCCAGCAAGGTGTTTCAGGCAGCTGAGAAAAGTGGTTTCTAGAGGAAGAGAGTTTCCTTTGGTGTGTACATTGAGCTTTGCAACTTTGCAGACCGCTTACATGTACGAAAAGCTATATAACACTAAAGGAATGGGAAAAAACAGAAAAGCATAATATGTCCCCTTTAAAGAGCTCTGATCATTTATAATTCTTATAAAAACAGCGTAATTAGTCCTAGTTATTTGGATTAAGTGCTGTAAAATGTTGAGTACAAAATCATTGTTTTAATATTTTTTATATTTTTAATACAGGTTCTTTTTATGTCTGTTCTGACTTAAAAAAATAAATATTGATGCATAACATGTATTGTAAAATATTTTTGCCATATTGCCCACCCCTAATTAATTATCATTGCAGTAACTATACAGGTCTATTCTTGTCAAGTACTTATTAGTGAGAAATTTTGCGAATATTGTACATTATTACCAAAATGGATTGCTGTTAATGGAGAAGTTCATATTGCAAAAATATTTAAAATGTAAAAGTTTCTCCCTCTTTTTGTCTCTCGTCACTTCAGATCTTTGGAGGTCGATACTTCTACATCCAGGCCTACCGTTCTCTGAGGCACGGGGTGGCTAACATGGACGTGCTCATCGTCCTGGCCACCACCATCTCGTATGTGTACTCGTGCATTGTGCTGTTGGTAGCCATGAGCGAGGGGGCCAAGCAAAGTCCAGTCACGTTTTTTGATACACCTCCTATGCTGTTTGTGTTCATTGCCCTTGGACGGTGGCTGGAACACATTGCCAAGGTAAAATAAAAATATGCTGGAACTCCTGGAATTCATGTCACTGGGGAAGATGATCTGCAGCTGCACCAGATTTCAAATTTCATAGAATTGTCTCGCAGTTTACATGCAGAAATGAACTAAGATTAAACCTGCATGGACTTTAAGAATTAGGAGTAGAACTGAAGGTTGGATTATTTGCTTGATGTTAGGGCTGCTTGATTATGAAAAAATCATAATCACGATTATTTTGGTCAATATTGAAATCACAATTATTTAACACGATTACTCATTGAAATATCATGCATTTATCAAACTTAAACAAAAAACATCTGTGTGGATTTCCATGAATTTTCCTTGAATTTTAAAAAGAATTCAACTGAAAAATAAATTAAATATATAAAAATAGTAAATAAAACTGAATAAGATCACTAACGCCCAGCCCTGCTTGATGTTATTTGTAAAGACTTAAAGATTTAGTTGCCATTCACTCATACAGTCCATATATGGAAACTTGTTTTGAATTCATTGTTTTTTTGTGATGTCATTAAAATCAACACATTTGCTCAGCCTGTTTATGCTGAAGTTACAGGGACTGTTTTGGTCTGTGCTTCTTTATGAATGAGGCACAATATAAGACAGCCAATCAGAACACGGGATATCTACATATATCAGTACCAAAGAGATATTGGAAAATTTTCATGTAAAAATGACTTTGATATGTAAAAGCACAGACACTTTACACTTCAACTTAAGAGAAAGAAAAATACAAGCCCCTAAAAAAGAACAAAATATTCAAAAGCAATAATGTTAGGAAGTCACAGAAAAGTCACCCCACATTGTTATGTTACAGCATAAAAATCACTTTATAGGCATCATCTGATGGCTTACAGCATTTTATTGCACAGTATGTGCTGAAGCTAAGACACTGATGTAAAGCAAAAGGCTAATATACTGTATTACCCAGTATAAAAATATATATGACATCTGGATGAGTCATCCTCTGTTTCTGTTGGCTGTCGCTCCAGGCTGTCCTCACTGTTGAGGTCTGTCTAGGGTTAAAGTCATGCTTTCTTATCTCTGCCTAGTCATGCTACTAACTTGCTTGCTACACGTGGCAAAGATACCACTATGTTGTAAAAGCTTTCACTGATTTTATTGGTAAAGCTCAGAGTTGTGGAGCCTGTGTTTTGCTCTCTTAGCTGCATTTAATCAGTAACTATAGAGCCAAACCCTAAAGTGCCCTGTGTGTGTGTTTTTCTCACAATAAGGTCAAACTAATAAATTCAGGAAGCAGCTTTGTTATTGCTGCTGTGCAGAAAAGGAGGATTATTTTAAGATGAAAATTCACCTAAAAGACAATATTAAGCCAGTAAAATGTTAAATCATTAAATGAATTACATTGTATTGATTGAAGCTTCCTTCTCACAGTGAAGTATGTTTTCGTGTCCTTGTAGGATAAGACGTCAGAGGCGTTGGCCAAGCTCATGTCCCTCCAGGCCACAGATGCCACTATAGTGACACTAGGCCATGACAACTCCATCATCAGGTATGAACTATGCCTATGTTATCATGCAGCTGAGGCACTGCTAAAAATGACTGTTAAAAAAGGCCAGACAGCCCTGGAGGTAGAGTGTCTTGCGTAAGAGTGCAACATCTGCATCATTAGTAGATGGGACCAGCTGAGATCAAACCCATGACCTTCTGGGTCACAGTGAAATTCTCCCCCTGACTATGTGCTGTATTTTGGCAGGCTGTGATGATACTGCTATGCTAAGATTGCACACTGTATTTTGAAGTATCATTGCTGTTCAAAACAAGATATATCCCCAACATGGTAACTTTACAGGAGAAGGCAAAAGAAACATTTTAACTTTTACTGTAAGTTAATGTGAAGAGAACATATTCCAAGTGATTTTGGAGTATTTCTGTTGGTTCAGTCATCATGAAATTTTTGCTCAGTGTAAAGGGCAGCTGCTGGGTTTAAATGTTGTAGAAAAATGAAAATGGACAGCAACAATACAGTTTTATGCAAAAGTTTGGGCGTCCCTGGTCAAGTTACATGTTTTGTTTTTTGCTAAGTGAAAATGTAAAGTGTTCCTTTCCACAGAAAACACTCCTGCACATTTTTATACGCAATTACTGTTTATTAGCTAAATTTAACATATTATGAGAAATAAAAAATAAATGTGGCCTGTTCAAATGTTTTTTTTCCCCAATATGACACAGCAAATAAATTGTGCACTAAAATGCCATATTTAAGTTCCCTGTAGAGGATGTGTTAACTTGCTTTCACTTAGAAAAAAAACTGCAATTGCTGGTGCACAGTTTCAACATGTTGGAAAAAATGTGCCATAACCTTTGCACAGCCCTTTTTTATGTTTTATTTTTTCTGATATGTTAAATTTAGCAAATACACCATGATAGTTCATTAAAATTTGCTGAAGTGTATTCTCTGTAGAGTATATGTTAATTTATTTTCACTTAGAAAATCAACAAAAAATGTAATTTGACTCATTTTACCTCAAATAAAGCCCTCTAGGTAGCTAGTCAAGCAGCTACAATGATTTCTTTTTAATTTCCTATAATTTGACCTGTTATCAGTGGCATCATGGGCTTTTAGATTGATCAATGAATTGAACATAATTATCAAAATACTTGACTGCTAAAGTAATCCTTTGTTACAGCCCTAATGATGGCCTCTTTTCTATGTAGCCCTTTTATTATATGCAACCATAAGTAATTGAACATTGGCTGCTCTACAATAATGTATATTAAAGTATGTTAACTAAGGTACTGATTGCATTAGTCCATGTGCATTAGTTGTTGGGTTAATTCTTGTATGCAATATGTGGAGTTAAATTCCTCTATGATAACTCAATTTTGAATATTTCTCCCAAGCGAGGAGCAGGTCTCTGTGGAGCTGGTGCAGAGGGGAGATGTGGTGAAGGTTGTACCTGGAGGAAAGTTTCCTGTCGATGGTAAAGTGATTGAGGGAAGCTCCATGGCTGATGAATCTCTTATCACAGGTAACAGGCTTTAGTGTACATGGTAGCCAGCCACTGGCCAACTGCATTAAAATGTAGTTACATAATTACATAATTATATTATTTAGTTTTACTCTGAAATGGTAACATCAGAAATACAATTATATTTGGTTTACAGTATGTATTGATGGGTTTACACCTCTACATTTTTCCCTTTTGTTTTGATCCCAAATAATAGCAAAAAAAACAACAGTAACTTTTCACCAAATTCAAATCATTATATACGATCTTCTCCTCTACTTATCTGCACTTACTACACCATTTCTTTGCCTGTTTTAGTGATCTATGAGTGAGAAATCAGGCAGATGTGCTGTGGAGGAGCTAGAATGGTCATGTTTGATTAAAATGATCAAATTAATTCTTTCATTTTTTTTAAAAAATAGATGAAATATAAGCAAATTATATTTCTTGAGGTTAATTTACCAACAGTTAATTCTTTTTGCTGGTATATTGCTGTTATCAGGGCGACGTCAGATCAACTTCTTCAAATGAGAGTAAGCTGTTGCTTATGTCCCCCAAGCCACAAGTAATTTTTCATTTATTTTTATTTTGTTTATTTTGTTAATCATGATAGTGGCAGACATTTTATGATGGGGACTTTGATGACTTTGCTTTCATTTTGTTTCCTTTGGTTTTTTATTTATTGATTATTTATAAGTTAATTAAAGTTAATTGTTATTTTATCTTTATTTTTTTTAGCATCTGTTAAATTTAAGTGTTAGTTCATTTCCATTGTTGCATATAAAATATTATAATAGGCGTGAGTGTTGGCCCTCAAGGATTTTGCTCAAAATCAAAATGGTATCTCAGTATGTCCCACAAACCCAAAATAAAATCTTTACTTCAAACTATATCTGACTAGACTATATTTCTGGTCATATAATTAGAAGTATAATCAGATAAGGCTTTGTATTTCATTTAATTTTCTACTAATATAGAGTTGAAGCATTAGACTCATGGTAGATTATGAACAGTGTTGTTTATCTGTGTGTGTGCATTGTTGCAGGAGAGCCGATGCCGGTGCGGAAGAAGCCAGGCAGCTGTGTGATCGCTGGCTCTATTAATGCTCATGGAGCGCTGTTGGTGGAAGCCACACACGTAGGAGCAGATACAACACTCTGCCAGATAGTTCGACTGGTGGAGGAGGCACAGACATCAAAGGTAACACACACATGTTCACACATACGAAACACACATGCACATTCACATATAGATGCAGTGAGGGAAAGCAAGTCATTTTGAAGCGCTGTGGTTCAATTTTGGCCCATTTCTCTCAGCAAAGCATCTTCAGTTCCTGACGAGGGTCGCTCAGATGGACTCACAGGTTCAAAATCCTCCATAAATTTTCAGTGGGATTCTAATCAGGAGACTGGCTACCTTCACAGTCTTTCTTAGAAACCAGTCTTGAGTTATTTTGGCAGTATGTTTGGGGTCATTGTCTCATTGAAACTTGTAATGCTGATGATCTTATAATAGATTGCCTATTTTTATTTAGTCTGATCAGAGTGCATTGTTCCAGTAGAGTTCTGATTTGTCCAAAAACGTCTGTGCAAATTTTAGATGCAAATCTCGGTGCTTCTTTTTTTCAGCAGAGGACTTTTTTTAGCTTGGACTGTAGGAACAGTGATTGCTGTGCAGTTCAGTGGTTATTCTTCTCTGTGTAACTGATTTTCCTGCTGCCTTTAGGTCGTCATGCAACTCTGTTCAAGTGATTGCTGGCTTTTCTCTTACCTTCCTTATCATAAGTCTGGGACCATGTTGTGAAATCTTGCGTGGCGCACCTGTCCTACGACAATTAGTTGTGGTTCCATGAACTTTCCACTTGGATATTATGAAAGTTATAAGAAATACCTCATAACCTATTATGTGTGTCATTTTGAAGTGAAAATATGCACTAGAAGCATAATATAAATTAATTAATAAAAAATACTTGCTTCTCCTTACTGTACATATGCACAGCTTTGAGCTAGATGGTCTGATGGTGGAGAGGTAGACTCTATTAAGGACAGAAGGATTTAGGTAATAGGCTGCACACCTGGACTACAGACTACATTACACATACACACATGCATTCATGCATGTTGTACCCAGGGATGGGCAAAACACATTTTGATACAGGAATGCATAAATAAACTAAACATAAATGTATTTTGTATTTTATAAATTCAAACATATATTTCCAACAAGCATGATGACAGTGTTAGGGGGTTGTTTGGCAAACTACTTCACCTTTTGCACGAATCATGTGCATTTTTCCTGTGTTTTTATTAATAAGAAACCTAAATATTTATTTGTTTATTCAATATACGCAAGAGGTGGAGCTCCCATTTGTCCCCTGCAACCTGTAGAGTGCTCCTTCTCCTAATCAAAGACAGCTGGGATTAATTGGAGAAAGAGCACAGACGTTGGTTAAAAGATGCTCTTCAAGCTGAAGGGGACAGAGAGGACCTTGGCTGGAGAGCTGTGTGAGAAACTGTTGTGGCTTAGAAGGCTTTTTATAGAAACTGAAATATAATTTTTAAATCTGTGATGTTCTGGGGTTCACGCTTTGTGTTCCAGTGTAACCCTTTCTAGGCTGACACCTAAATATTTATGTTTTAAATAAACAAATTTTGTTGTTTACTTTGTCTGTTTATATTTCCAAGACCATCAAATACAAATTACAAAACAGATATTTGGCCCACCCATGGTAGTAAAAGATACACACACATACACACACACAGGCAGATACACACACACACACACACACACAGAAATTAAACAAAATCATATTCCTCCAATTTTCTTTAATTAGAAGTTAATAAAATAATTCCCTGAATGTGTTTTGATTGTGTTACTCAGGCGCCCATCCAGCAATTAGCAGACAAACTGAGTGGCTACTTTGTCCCTTTTATTGTCATCGTCTCCGTAGTAACACTGGCTGTGTGGCTCGTTATTGGGTTCTTGGACTTCGACATCGTGGCAAAGTATTTTCCTGTGAGTAATTACAAGAGCTTCCCACCTGGCTTCCTCATTTTTTTTATTGCTGTAGATAACCTGTCACTATCAACACTGTACAGTAGATACACTATACACTGCCCACACTGCACTGTAAGTACACTATACACTGCCCACACTGCACTGTAGATACACTATACACTGCCCACACTGCACTGTAAGTAGACTATACACCGTCCACACTGTACTGTAGATACACTATACACTGCCCACACTGCACTGTAGATACACTATACACTGCCCACACTGCACTGTAAGTAGACTATACACCGCCCACACTGTACTGTAGATACACTATACACTGCCCACACTGCACTGTAGATACACTACACTGCCCACACTGTACTGTAGATACACTATACACCGCCCACACTGTACTGTAGATACACTATACACTGCCCACACTGCACTGTAGATACACTACACTGCCCACACTGTACTGTAGATACACTATACACTGCTTGAAATGTACTGTTGTTACACTGTACAATGCCTACAATGTACAGTGTAGATACCCTGTACACTGGCTACAAAATACTGTAGGTGCACCATACGCTGCCTACACTGTAATGTACATACACTATACACCGCCTATGCTGTACTAGAGATACACTATACAGTGTCTAGACTGTACTGTAGATACATTCTGCAGTGCCAATACTGTACTGTAAGTACACTATACATTGCCTACACTGTACTGTAGCTACACTGCACATCCAAATATTGGGGTCACTTTGGCTTATTTTGAAACATTTGATATTCACTATTACTTGCTGTAAATTGAATAATAAAAATAAAATAATAATAAAAACATATGTGCCATATGTGCTATATTTTTGCACTGCTGTTTTGTGGGTTGGTATCTCATGTGCTTCTGTATGAGATATTTTTGTTGTTGTTTTTGTGATATACTGTGTTGTTCCATGTGTAAGTGGTGTGTGTTCTGTTTAGGGCTACGATAAGAACATTCCACGGACAGACGTCATTGTGCGTTTCGCGTTCCAGGCATCCATCACAGTGTTGTCCATTGCCTGTCCCTGCTCTTTGGGCCTGGCTACCCCAACGGCAGTGATGGTGGGCACCGGGGTGGGGGCCCAGAATGGCATCCTTATAAAAGGCGGAGAGCCGCTGGAGATGGCTCACAAGGCAATGCTTCTTACTCATTTTCTATCCTATGAACCATGTTATAAATGTTTCACTGACCTTATTTTATATTTTTAACCCTTTAGAAGTCTGAAGGTATTGCCATTTTGCTCTATGTTTAATTTACAGTATATAGTTATTTAAATATAATATATATAACATAATTACTTACATAATAAATTACCTTTACATTCTTTTTACATTCTATATTGACAGGTTTAAATCTGCCTTCCTTTTTTTAGTTTATTAAAACTGAAAAAAATGATAAAATGATGGGAAAATATACAGATTTTTCTTTCTCAAAAAAGCAAAATTGTAGCACAACAATAACATTTCATTAAATATCAATTATAATAAACTACTTACACTACCCTTTAAAAAACTGAAGTTGCACTAAAGTTTAAAGCTGTTCAAATGCTTGAAATCAATGTTTTCGATAATATAAAACAAATTTGATTGCAGGCAAGTGAATAAATTAGATTATCATACGCCAATCCTGTACAACTTCAGAGCATTTAAATAATTAGTAGGACACTAAGACACTAAGTACTTGAGCTAAGAGAGAGACTTACACCAATTTTTTTTTATATCACTGCTGATAGCTGTGACTAGTTGTCACACCTGTCAGCAGTGTTGGAATAGTTGTGCACATATAGGCCTGTATCACTGAAAACCCATGTCTGTTCTTTCAGGGTTTTAGGGTTGTATAGCTTCTCTTATGTGACAAATCTTGCAAGAGTCTTCTGGAACAACACTGAAATAGTACAGCTGTTCCAGATTCCCCAAAGGTTTAGTCCAATACTCTTTTTCAGCTTGCATGGACTTGGTAGTCATGGCAGCCAGACAAAAAGGAGTTGTAGTGTTTGGGGTTTGCTTATATTGGGCTGCACAACAAGTCAGACAAAACCCTTTGTGTGTTCCACAGATCCGAGCTGTCATGTTTGATAAAACGGGCACCATCACTAACGGGGTGCCGAGGGTGACACGGGTGCTGGTGCTGTGGGATCGAGCACGGCTGCCCCTCCGGAAGGTTCTGGCTGTGGTGGGCACAGCAGAGGCCAGCAGTGAGCACCCGCTGGGCATGGCAGTTGCTAAACACTGCAAAGAGGTAAAGAACCCACCCACGCTTACATACACACAGGGAGTGTTAAAATCAACCTATAGATGGTGATTCAGCTGTCGGTTTAGTTACATTTTTGTCAGAATAGTTTATAATCGATTATCATAATACATAATAAAGGTATCTGCTCACTTTTTATATAAGCCTTAAAATAAACCTCTCTATCTGTTTTAAATGTAAAATGTACACAAATTTCCACAAAAGCCGAAGTGTTGTTTCTATGATCTATATTGTATAAATGTTATTTTCTAGTCATTTATTTTAAAAAACAATTCTGAATCATACCAGAAAAGCTAAATTGAGCCATAGTGTGGTGAATTTTGAGATTTCTTTATGCATTTAATTGTAGGAAAGCTTTTTTTGCGTGCTGCTGGTCAAAAGTTGGTAGTTTGGACACCTAGCTGTTAATAAATAAAAGTTGATAAACAGAAAGCTATTTATATTGTGCTATTTTTCTAACAAAAAAGGAGAACCTTACAAAATTCCTACTTTTCACATAATGCCCACACATTTAACCCTCTTTTTGTGATGTTGGTACTTCAGTACTCAGAAAAGCAGTTTTTTTACTGGTTTGTTTCTGTTCCTGGTCATATTTACCACAATTTATTATTGATAAGATTCAATCCAAAAGGTTTTGTAATCTTCATCAAAATGTGATGACTTTTGTCTGAGTCTAAAATGTCAGATTTTTAATGCACCAGTGGATTGGGAAAAAAATATTAACCAATGTCATGTTTCACTTCCGAAACCATGTTTCACTTAGAAATACAGAGTCTGAGACCACATTGAAAATCTGGGATTTTTTTCATGCAAACTTGGAAATAAACAGCACAATATTTTAGAATCTTGAAAAAATTTAACCCAAAGAAAAATTACAACAATTATAATTATGAAAAATGCTGCACTATTTCTATGTCACTAGTCAAAATAAACCAAATTTACGAAACTGACCATATTAAGGTCTTTGTAAAAAAAGGCTAAATTTTTAGTCTTGCTGCTTTCATTGAAGCTTGTATTCTGCCAAAGAATTTGATCTACTGATTAGAGGCTTTTGCACAAACATATGGAGTCCATATCTGTCATATGTCCACAGCTGTCATTAAAACAAAAGGGGGCGAGGCATACCAAATATTAAGAAGTTTAGACATTTATGTAAACATTCAAATGTTCTGCTTTAAATTTCAGTCAATTTTTATGCTGATGATATCATTTGTCATGAAAAACATTTTAAATTAGAAAGGAAAGCAGAGTCCGAGCATTTTTACTGGTTGTCCCAGACTTTTAGACCCTACTGTATGTCCCGGAGTGGAAAAAAATGTGTTCTGATTTCCATTTTACGCTGACTGTAAACCTGCTTTCAATATGTGTTTAAACAATAGTTTGGAAAAGAAGACTGTTAAATCATTATTCAGGCAAAAGCTGCCCTTTATAGCAAGAAATACAGAAGAAGTGATGAAGTTAAAAGTTTTCCTATTTCCAGTTGTTAAGTAGTATTAAGGAAATGAGAAGGCAAGATGAAACTTTTGAAGCCAGTGTCTAGCCTAGCAAAACTTGACCAGCAAGACTTACATGCAGAATAAGTAAACTCATTGGTGCCAAGTGAGGCAAGAAACCCTCAAGACTAAACGTTGAGTGGGTCTGAAGTGCTGGAGCGGAATCTAAGGCGTTCTCTGGCCTGAGCTTTCTCTGTGACACTCTCTTTCCCGCTGCAGGAGCTGGACACAGAGGCGCTGGGCTACTGCCATGACTTCCAGGCAGTGCCGGGCTGTGGAATCAGCTGCAAAGTTTCAAATATTGAGGAGCTCCTGCAGAACAGCCTAGAGACAGAGAGCACACACACGTTGCCCACCCAGCTCACACTCCAAGGAGCCACAACAGACGAGAGCTGTTTGGTCACAGACTCCGAACCTGGCCCTGGTCAGTAATATGTGCATGTGCTGCCCCCTAGTGTGTGTGGTTAGACTGTTCCAGTAAATCAGGGTTATATCAGAAGTCATATTGAACATGATGTCACATGTCAGAACATGTACAAGGAAAAAAACGTTCCTAATTTATGTAGTGTAATGCAATTAGATTTTTTAGAAGTGATTTTCCAGTTTCCAAAATACATCTTAGTGATAAGATCATCTTAAGTAGTAGAGATAGTGTTGAGTGTAATGCTCGCTCTACCATTTGAGAAAGGTCTTTGTGCTGAGATGCTTTCTGGAAGCCCTGAATATCATGAAATGAGCACCAAGTGTATAGGCCAGCTGCCATTTCAAATGCTTATTTATGATTTATCATTAATGTTTGTGCATGTCGTTTGTCTTTATGTGTGTACCCAGGTCCCACTACATATTCTGTTCTGATTGGGAACAGGCAGTGGATGCAGAGGAACAGTGTACAGGTCACTCCTGATGTGGATGAAGCCATGAGCAGCCACGAGACTAAAGGCCAGACTGCCATTCTGGTGGCCATTGATGGTACAGTCCTACCTAAAGACCTGAAAGATTCCAGATTATATTGTATTGTATTGTATTATGCATACATGAATGTAATAAAGGTTTTGTGGCAGCACATCATTGTCATCATCATCTTCTCTCTCTCTCTCACTCTCACTCTCTCTCTTTCTCTGTATCAGGTGTGTTGTGTGCTATGTTGGCTATAGCAGACACGGTGAAAGAGGAGTCGGCTCTGGCAGTGCACACTCTGAGCAGGATGGGCATTGATGTTCTCATGATCACTGGAGACAACAGACGCACCGCTAAAGCCATTGCTACACAGGTGCACCTACCCTCACACTGTCAGTCACACGCAACCAAACACGTGCACATGTGTACCCATATGAACATTTGTTTGTTTAGGGGCTGAACAGTTGTACACGTGAGCATTAGAGCTTTTACACAGGTTTTGCATGTTTATGTGTACCTGTTGTCAGTAGGGCTGTCAAGCAATTAAAATAACCATGCCTAATCTCATTATGTTGTGTAATTGTAGGCCTGTCACAGTTATTACATGTAACCATGGTACATAATCGCCTGATCACAATTATTTGGGACGATTGCAATTATTTGAGGTGACTGCAGTTATGTAAGCTGACCGCAATCAATTTCTACAGTCATTAGATTTCACCATCATATTATACTGCAACAAGCAGAATGAGAAGACAAATAAATGTGAATTCATTATAACACATCAATGGTCTAATTAAAACAAGAAAAAGTTCTGACTTGGTGCTATAATATTGAGCCCCGCAGTGCCACTGTGAAAAAATTTGCAACGACTTTGCTTTCTCTGGAAATAGTTTTGCATTCCCTCGCAAAATCCATTGCATTTGCAAGTGAATGCAAAATCATTGTGAGGGAATGCAATGTATTTTTTTTTTTAGCTACTGCCCCTTAGGGTACTATGACACATTTAGAGCACTGCCTGAGTAATATTTGCTAGTTAGTTAGTTATGTAGCTAATTTGATTTTTAGCATGTGTGCTAGCAGAATGAGTGAACTTCAGTATAGCTTGTTAGTTTCTCACTTTGAGCACTGTCCAGTGTACCCTGCTGAATTACTGATATTGCCGCAACTGTGGTATGTTTTGCTGGTGAATGATCTATTTCACACACACACACACACACACCTTTTGTAAACTGCTCATCCTTCTGGGTGCTAGCAGCCATTGGGCAGAAGGCAGGATACAGGACAGGTCACCAGTCCATCGCAGGGCAGGCAGACAGACATATACATACAGAAAGAATCCTGCTCGCCTGGCCGGGAATCAAACCCAAGCCCTTCATGCTGTGAGGCGACAGCACTACCCACTGCGCCACCATGCTGTCCTGACTTATTTTGGTGATAAACAATTTATGGTATGGCAGTAGCTGGAAATAACTTTCATTTTATCAGGAATTTGCCACTTAAAAACTTTGTTGGAACAAGAGGACTACAGAAAAAAATCTGTGCACCAGGTTTAATCTGACTGACGGGAGACGAAGTTTTGTAAGAAGATGCACCCTCTGTGATGAGTATTTCAGAGCAAGATGGCATGACATCTTTATTGAACAGTTCAACATTCAGTCATTTTTTGAAGGATTTATATAGAGTGATCATATTTTGGTTTTCAAAAAAGAGGGTACCGGGGGCAGATGTGTGTCACGGGGCCGACTGTAGAAAGCAGACATCAGCATGAAAATAAAGCTAAATCCCAGGCATTCTAGGCAATTTAGAAATCTTAGTTGGATTCCTTTTTTTGAATCTCAAAAAGAGGACATATCCTGGATATAGAGGACATGTAGTCACCCTAATTTAGAAGCTAGCAAGAGTGATATCCTTGCATGTTTGTCAGCATGTTCCCTTTTGTTTGCTGGTGAAGGTTACCATTTACCATTCCAATAAAAAAAAAAAACAACTGACCTTACACATTACACAGAAACACTGACCTGTGGTTATTATTTTGCGTGTCAGTCAAACAGACCATTCTTGTCGAAGTAAGCAGTTCTTTGCCACTTTGAGCAGCAAAATGCAACACACTCTCAGAAGCCTGGCTTAAAGCCCTTACATCTAAAATTGATTTACAAACTGATCTACAAATGATAGCGTAAAACTGTCAAGATATTTTATTAACCATAACAAAATATATTTGATAATCTGATTTTAAAAAAACGGATGAGTTGGAGAAGGGGAAATGACGTCACGGGTCATTAGCAAGCCAATGTATGCATATGAGGATTAAATAATTTTGAATTAAGCGCATATTTGTGCTTCAGCTGCTTTATTCCATTCTTTCTTACAGGTTGGAATCAGGAAGGTGTTTGCTGAAGTCTTGCCCTCTCACAAGGTGGCGAAGGTGCAGGAGCTGCAGGAGAAGGGCTTGAAGGTGGCCATGGTGGGTGATGGGGTCAACGACTCACCTGCTCTCGCCCGCGCTGACCTGGGCATTGCCATCGGCACGGGTACTGATGTGGCCATTGAGGCGGCTGACGTAGTCCTTATACGGGTCAGTCTGATTAGAGATAGTTACCTGTTTCATCATAGTGTAGACAAGCATGGGCAAGACATTTTATTTTGTTCTCAATAAAAAAGAAAGACATCGAAGACATGTTATTCCTGCCTGATTGTTTGGTTTATTTAGTGATTTATTATGCATTTAAGTATGTTAATGTATGTTAAAGCAAGTGTATGTAGACCAGTAACTTGGGAGCTGCATAAATTGCACAGTACAAATATGCCGTCTTTATATTTCAAATATATATATAACTCTACTTAGATGTTGCCTTTTCATTTAAAGGAAATGAAAATGAAAACTTTAACCATCACTACTGATCTGAACGTGCAAATAGCTAACATTACTTCTAGGAAGCAGAGTATCTTATTCTAAACTATATTTAAAAAACTTGATTTAGTGAAAGAATATCAATATATCCTCAGTATATATATCAGGCGCCTGGAAAGACTGCACTACTTCACAGTTTAGTTCCTCCCTTTTGATTCAGCCTAAGACATCATAATCAACCGATTAATGATAAAAGCAAACATTGAATACAGCTCTATATGTTTAACAAACTGCAGTTTAACTCTGATCCAAATGATACCTCAAACATATGGCTGCCCAGAAGAAGCTGAAATATGTCAATGCAAGTGCTTCTTTTTATTATTTGCTAAAGCTAGTCTCAGTGGTGGAAGACAGCCTGAAAGCTGATTTGAAAAAAAGATGTTTGCAGGATTTGTATTCATTGTTCTTTTCCACTTTAACTGTAGAATGATTTGCTGGATGTGGTGGCCAGTATTGAGCTGTCCAAGAAGACCGTTCAGAGAATACGAATCAACTTCGTGTTTGCTCTCATTTACAACCTGCTGGGCATTCCGATTGCAGCAGGTGAGAAAAACACCACTTTAAGTGGTTTACTTATAGGAGAAAGGAAAACCCGAGGAAGCTCGGTTAAACTATACACATTTTCTAAGTGAAAAGAAGTTATACAACATATGCATGGAACAAATGTAACTATGACACATTTCTGCACATTTTAAAGCACAATTATTATTATTATTATTTATTATGATTTGCAAAATTTAACACATTGGAATAAAATAAGTAGTGCTTAAATTTGGACAGCCTTGCAGTTTTTTTAGCAGTGTGAACCCCTTTGGTTAAAATCACAGCCTCCAAATGTTTCTTTCTGTTCGTGTGTAGGATTTATTCCCCACTTTTCTGTGCAGAACATATGCACAGCATATGTGAGATATAACCACAGATTTTCAGTAAAATTCAAATCTGGGGATGAAGGCCATTCCAAAACCTTAATCTTTAGTTTTTTGAAAGTGTTTAAGGTCGCTGTGTATTTTGGATCTTTGTCTTGTTGTAATACCTTCTTTGGTTTCTGCACTGACTGTGGGACATTACCTTCTCGGAGTTGTTCATTTCAGTAGAATCCATTTTTCCTTCTATCCCCACAAGACTTCCTGTGCCACTAACTGCCACACAACCCCAAGGCACAATAGATCCACCCCAGTGTATGATATACCCCCTGGGCTGGCTAGCTACGCCAGCATTGGCTGATTGCTAACTTACTTTCTGTAGCTGCACTGATGCTAGCTGCAATGGCAGCAAAATGTTTAGTTTTACAGTTCCTCTTTCGGAAATGTAAAATTCCTAGTTTTGTAATGTGGTCTTCTAACCTCTTTCTGTTTCTTCGGTTTGTGAAATAAGTAAGAATTCACTCTTTTCACCGAACTCTTGGGAAAGTTTTCAGATATGCTACAGTGATACAGAGGTATCCTTAGCATAGTTATAGTTGTTTGGCAATGAAGGACTAACTTCAAGAGGTTAATGAAGGTGTCCCAGCCATCCCAGGCCCCCTGTATTTCACACCTTAATCCACCCCCATGCTTTACAGTTAGCAGTGGTTTACAGTTAGCAAGGTGTTCTTTTCATCAAATGTTGCTCCTTTTTTTCTTTAAATATACCTTTGGTAATTGTAGCCAAAGACTTCAGTTTTTGTTTTATCTGATTGCAGAACACGACTCAAAAATGCCTCTGGCTTATCTAGAAGTCGCTTTGCTTTCTTCAGACATTTAGTTTTGTGATGAGATCACAGTTAAGATTACCCTCTGATAACTCTTACATGTAGATGCTGATTGTCCAACACTGCACAGTGGACCGGTGCATCACTATTTCCATTCCAGATCTGATGTGGATTAAGGACTACTCCAAAGTCAAATAAGCTCTGACACTGTACAAAAAATAACAGTAGTGGAGCAGCTGAAGGGTGTCCACAGTCATGCACAACTTATGTCATGTTTTATTATTTTCCAATATGTTAAACTTTGTAAATAAGTAATAATTGTCCATCCAATAATTACCTGTACCTTTTAATACACAATTACTGTTAATTTGCTAAATTTAATATATTAAAAAAAATAATACAACATAAAATGTGGCCTGTGCAAATATTTTGGCATTTTTTTTTCAAAATGTGTTCATTTAAATAGAAATTATGCAATAAAATTAGCAGAAAAAATACCATATATAAGTGTGTTCTCTGCAGATGTGCTCATTTTCACATAGAAAATCAACAAAACATGTAATCTGACCATGAGTGTTGAACCTTTTGCAAATGATTGTGCAAGATTTTTATACGACAATGAAATGCACTGCATGTTAAAAGTTTAGATTTTAAGCACGTGTTTATGTTTATTTCTGTAATACATGTGTATATATGTGTGTTCAGGGGTGTTTATGCCTGCTGGTTTGGTGCTCCAGCCCTGGATGGGTTCAGCTGCGATGGCTGCCTCCTCTGTCTCTGTGCTGGTTTCCTCTCTGCTGCTGCGTCTGTGAGTGGGCTTCACACAGCTAATGAATCATTTAAAGCTTCACTCAGCAAGCTTACAACACAGTGGTTTGGAGTGGTTAAGAATTAAAGCCGGTGACGGAGTGCACCTTTAAAAAAGTGCGATGAAGTAGTCTCATCGGTGTTTGAACATTCTCTTCTTTCTTTTCATCAGTGACTTCTTTAGTGATTACATTCATCACTGAGTGCGCTAACATGCATGCTAATAATACATTATCATTAGACACCTGGAGTTTAGCTCCTAGTTATTCAGGCCGAGGGTACTGCACCATATGGCCAAAGGTATGTGGACACATGACCATCACATCGACATGAGTTTGTTGGACATCCCATTTCAAAACCAAGGGCATTAATATGGACTTGCTCCCTGCCTTAACGGCTGTAAGAGCCTCCACTCTTTCTGGGAAGGCTTTCCACAAGATTTTGGAGTGTGTGTTTGAAGGCCGCCCTGCGATGGACTGGCGACCTGTCCAGGGTGTATCCTGCCTTCCGCCCAATGACAGCTGGAATAGGCTCCAGCACCCCACCGCGACCCAGAAGCATAAGCGGTTTAGATGATGTATGTATGTATGTATGTTTGAAGGCCTGGCTCTCAGTCGACGTTCCTGTTGTTCAGTGGGGTTGAGGTCATGCTGTTAGAAGGGTTTCCCACTTAACCTTTCTCTCTCTCTCTCTTTCTCTCAGCTATAAGAAGACGACAGTGGAGCAGTATGAATCACGGGCTCATGGCCGGATGAGCAGTTTGAGTTCGTCTCAGGTCAGCACCCACGTGGGGCTGGAGGAAAGGCGCTGCAGCCCGCGTGCTCTCCAGCGCGGCCGGTCCAGACACAGCCAGTCCAGCCACAGCTCTGGAATGCCCTCCCAGCCTCCCACACTCTCTGGCCGCTCCGGGACACAGCCGTACGCGCACCTGGACCGCCACTCACAACTGGAGCACGACCAGAATGGACAACAGCTCATAGTGTAGAGACCAGGACCAGCGCTCATACAAGCCTCTTTTCCCATGTAACATCAAACAGCATAGAGAGTGACGGTTCCGGTAGCATTTCTACCTGGACACGGTTTGACACATTTACAGACCCTGCTGACTGCTGAAGGAGCAGGATGGATTAAAGGAGTACTCCAGGTTTTTTCAGCCTCATCTCTATCTGCTGCATCTGATTCCATTTGATTACCACAAACGAGAATTTAGACGTGTTCACCTGAACAGAAAAGCCATTGACTTGAAACACGCATATAGTGGAAGCCAGTGGGCAGGTGCTTTTAGTTTACACGTGGTTTTAGTCAACGAGTTTTCTGTTTACACTGGAGTATTCCTTTAATGACCTAGCTGTTCACTGAAGTTATGTTCGTAACAGCCTATCCTAATGTGGCATGGTTGATTTTATGACTTTTGCACACAAAAAAACAAAAATCATCACATTTCTAAATCCTCCAAATTGCCTGTTAGCTGAATGGAGATCAACAACTTCATATGCATGTTTACTACACAAACAGGTCACAATCGCTGTCGTCACTATAGATTTTCTTAAATGTTTTCTAGTCTTGATTTAACAGCACAAAATATGGAAAAGAAACCAGTCACACAAGCTCATGCCGGCACAGAACGGCACAGTGCAGTCATGTTAACTGTTTGGACCAACAGAAGAAAAGGGGCGAGAGAAAGGAGGAGCTACAGATCTAGGATCACATGCCTTCAGGGATGCGGGAAGTGGAGCTTAGCACCACCAGATTTCGGGACTGTTTAACTGCACCTGCCGAAAGGTATTAAAAATATAGATGGAGCTTTAAAATGACTTGAGCATAGCCTTTAAAAATGGTTCTTCAAGAGTCTTTTAGTAAAGGACCATGAGTTCTGTATAGAACCATTTCATGTTTAAAAGGTTCTTTGCATTGTGAAATAGTTCTTCAGATTGATAAAGAATGTGTTCTCTATAGAACCTTTTTGAAAATAGTTCTATATAGCAGCAAAAACAGTTCTTCAGTTGTTAGGATGTCAAGCTTGTAACAATAAAAGCCCTTTTGGTGCTATATAGAACCATTTTCAAAGAAGGTTCATTAGAGAACCATATACAACATATTCTCCATCAGTGTGAAGAACCATTTCACCATAAAATGGTTCTGTATTTGCAACCCATGGTTCTAAATAGAACCATTCCCCTTACTGAAGAACTCTTGAAGAACCATCTTTTTTAAGAGTGTAGTAAGGACCTGTGTGCTTGTGCAGGTTGGTATTTTGGAGTTTTTATTTATATACTTTCCAACTTTTAAAGTTAGTGCTGTATTTTAATTACAGTTTGGGGTTGTCGCTAAAACAAGCAGGTTTAGCTGTAAAAGTGGGTGCAGAGTTTAACGCCAGCTCTGAGCCTCAAAGTGGCCTAATATTATTTTTAAACATAGTAATTTAACATAATGTCTCCTTTTGAATACTTTCAAACATTTTATCTCTCGCTTGCTATATCTCAGCATGTAGCTTCCTATCGGTGACATCACCTCAAAGCAGTAATCTGATTGGCCACTGCTCAGCTCATTCGCATAACAATTCTTATGCATCAAGAGGAAGCAGAGTATAGAGTGCATCAGTGGTTTGATGCATTTACATTTTACGGCATTTGGCAGACACTCTTATCCAGAGCGACTTACAATTTTATCATTTTTACACAGGTAGGCGAAGGTAGTGTTAGGAGTCTTGCCCAAGGACTCTTATTGGTATAGTGTAGGGCGCTTACCCAGGCCAGGGATTGAACCCCAGTCTACAGCGTAGAAGGCAGCGGTGTTACCCAAAACACTATACCAACCATTTCGCCATCAGTTATATGTCATCACTGTTGTTTGTTGGAGAGTTTCTGCATCATTTAAAAATGCCAGCTGCCACTTACACTGTGTCAAAAGTTCATGACAGACAGTCCAAAAGAAACAGTCAAAAATGACTTAGATCTTGTTACATTAACTTGCATTGAAAGTTAGCAATGTTTTTTTCCCTAAAGTTACTTTTTGAGAGCGCTGAGAGATACAAGGTTTTGTTCCAACTGCAACCATATGTGTATAGTCATCTCTAGTAGTCACATAATGCAAATTAAAATGTATATAAACGAAAATATTATCATTTATAAAATTAAATAACACGTTAAAAACATTTTCAGCGTCGTAGCCAGAACCTTTTCAGTGAGTTAGGCAGGTAAAACACAGCGACTTTGCTAGGGTGGCAAACTGAAAAGGAAAAAAGGAAACATTATAAGGGAGTAAGACCTTGCGGAAGTCCAGAGAGGTCATAAGGTAGTTATAATTTTCTGGACTGTTGATCTTGAGATAATGAGTTAATTATCTTATCTCAAAATAACAAAAGTTGTTATCCTGAGATAATGAGCCCTTATCTTGTGATCTCAAGATAACAAAGTTGTAATCTTTAAATAACAAGTTATCTTATCTTGAGATAACAAGTTTTCTTGAGATGAGTTAATTATCTAGTTATTTAAAAATAACAGAGTTGTTATCTTGAGATCACATGATAATTAACTCATTATCTCCAGATAACAATCCTGAAAATGATAGTAACAGCTCATGGCCTCTCTGTACTTCTGTAAGATCTGGCCGAGTAACAACCTCATCTACTGTAGCTTTCGCAGGAACAGGATTCTCCTCTGACTGGTTCAGTTTAACTGGGGTGGCCAGAAGGATGGCCATGCTTCACGGGTGGGTAGCTCTGGATAGCCCTTCGCTATGCCCCTGAACACCTTCCCACCTCCCTGGATGCCTTCCTCATTTACTTCTGGTCAGTAGGGCTACAGAAGCAGATCCTAGGTCAGTAGCTCTGCTCAGAGATGTGTTGTGAATACTGGCGCTTTAAGAGGAAGTGTCTGTGTAGTCTTACACTGAAAATCTGAGCAACTGTATCAGGGAAAGAGTATTTTAAGAACACTAATATATTCATGTACTCTGTGCACTTATTATGACCACACGGGAGGCATTTTATCTGTCTGAAATTTTGTACCACCTTTTTATCACCAAATAAACATAAGTAACTTGAAATGTAGGATGGCTGTGCCTGTGTTACAGAACAGTATCCGTAAGATTTACTCTTTAAAACGGGGGAATATCAATGTATTTTCATGTATTTTGATGTACACACACACACACACCATCTAAACTGCTTATCCTTCTGGGTCACGGTGGGGTGCTGGAGCCTATCCCAGCTGTCACTGGGTGGAAGGCAGGATACACCCTGGAAGGGTCGCCAGTCCATCGCAGGGCAGATTTTGATGTACACTACTGTTCAAAAGTTTGGAATCGCTGTTTAAAAAATCTAAACTGATTCTAATATGTTCATCCTGTACAACCTCAGTTTTCGGTTAATTACTAGTAAACTAGGAGGCTGTAAATATAAATGAAGAAGCTGAGGGTTCTATCCTAAAATGACTGGGAAAGCATTGAGAACTGAGATCATTTCATTTTTCTTGCTTTTTTGAAATAAAAATATCTCAGTCTTAAAGGTGCAGTAAAAAGAACACGCAGATTTATTCCAATGGATAAAGAAAAGTTGTTAAATAATTGCATAAAAAAGAACTGTTCTTGTTATGTAAACCCACATTAATGTTCCCAACCTCAGGAAAAAAAATGCAATAAAAATATGATAAGGGCTCTTTACTAAACAGATTTCCATATATTATTATTTACTACATCCTTGTTTACAGAATTCTTAGCAAAATATCTACAAATACCACTTGGTAAGTAGTTTATAATGTTAACATCTACACTGTAAATTATTATTGTGTAAATTATTATTCCATTTTATATATTATTATTGTATATATAAGTTAATATACCAAGTGATTCCAAACTTTTGAGCAATAGTGAACCTCGGGCTATTTCTGAGAAGCAGTGACGCAGGGGTGTGGCTGGTCGAGATTGGTGTAGTTCCAGCTGTTGACCAACAGGTGGCAGTAAATCTGCAGCATTAGCATTGGAATTCGAACTAGCTGACCTTGGCACATACTGAGCATGCCCACAAACACGGCTCCAAGGAACTATTTGACTCGGACAGAATCTGGCACAGCATTACAGACAAAGTGTCTTCAAATGGCCAGAAGGCTCTATGTCCACGTAAGACTATATACAGATCAGAATTTCAGACCTGTTCAGATGTACAGTCGTATGGGCAGGTCAAATGACATGTTTTGTTGATTTTCTAAGTGAAAATAAGTTACATTTTAATGCACAGTTACTGTTTATTTGGTGAATCACCATATTTAAATAAATTGTGCATTAAAATGTGCAGAAGTGTGTTCTCTGTAGAGGATGTGTTCATTTATTTTCACTTAGAAAATCAACAAAACATGTTATTTACCTGGGTGTGTTCAGACTTAGTACAAGACCGTCTCCAAACAATTACATGCCATTCATACGTGAGTAAAAGCACAAAAAATAGGACAAATTCACAAACAGATCAGCATTTTTATTAAAAAAAAGTGGAGGATATGTTTTATTAAATCTTCAGCCTTGCCAAGGAACCTTTTCCCTTGTGTGTAAAGTGCACAATTTGCAGCCTTTTTACAACAGTTCAAAGAGTGCTATTTACCATGACTCTCATGTATTACCATGATGTGCAGCAGATGACAGACTTGTCCTCCTGTCCTCTACCGTCCAGCCGTCACCATTACGCACTCAACCAAAAGCCACAGTCAGGAACAACAAACTTTATCATGAAGGCCTGAAGGAAGAAGTTAGCTCTGAAAAATTCATAAGGAGAGCAAGAATCGATTAATAACACAAACCAAAAAGCATTTTAGGTTCTGGATGTTTAGTGTCTCTGAGATGGTGGCCCCAGGGCCACAATGATGGGTTGTACTTGGCAAATGAAGCATCTAAAACATCTTCAGGAGTTTTGCCATCTAAAACAGCTTAACAAACCCCTGACTGTGGCTGTAACATTGAAAACAATCAACACACACCGTCAGAAATGCTTGTCCTCAAATACACCCAGAAAAGGCTGGAAAAAGGCAAAGATCAGTAAGTTTGGCTGATGGTAATATAATCAGGAACGTTGTTACTTATAGACAATTATTGGCATACTGTAGAAGCTTAGAGGCTTAGAGTACCAGCACTTTTCTCTACTTTAGTGGAACTTTGCAAAGCTCCATATGCTCTGGAGGATAAACACTGCAGTCTGTAAGTACCTGGACAGTGCACATTTCTGGTTGTTTTGGCTCTGCATTCCAGACTATGAGGCTAAAATGCAGAAAGTGAGCTTTATTTTGCACATAATTACATTTAGCAGTTCTTCCTATACACAGAATGTGACCAAAATTAAACAATTTCAGATGTTTCTTGAACTTGACTATGTCAAGATGTGGTCCAAGGAAGCTGGCCATTATGGCAATTAATGCTGGCCATCATGTTGGAGAAAGCAGTGAGAGACAGGGAATAAATCAGTAAAGTATAAAGTGTTAGGAACAGTGGGCCTCATTCACCAAATATCTTCCTAAGTCGTTTCTTAAGTGTGTTCTTGAGAAAAGTCCTAAGAAAAAGTCTACATCAGATTCATAACGTGTTCTTAAACCACAGAACTGTTCACACCTTTGTGCTCTTGGGTGTGTGTAGAGTCTGTTCTTACCTGAGAACAAATCCCAAATAAGAAACACTGGTGAATGTCAGAATGAAAACTGCTCAATGTGTATTTTAAGAAGAAACTACTTCTTAAGAATGGTTGGTGAATGAGGCCCAATGTTAGGAGGAAACAAATACTGTGCAGGTCAGAGACCACCCTTCATTTCTTAAATTTTAGGTCAAAACTGCCTTTAAGCACAAGTTATTTCATTTTTAATGTCAGGAAAACAGCAGTAAATATACACCAATCAGCCATAATATTAAAACCACCTGCTTGTTTCTACATTGACTGTCTATTTTATCAGCTCTACTTCCTATATAGGTGCACTTTGTAGTTCTACAGTTACAGACTGTAGTCCATCTGTTTCTCTGCATACTTTGTTAGCCCCCTTTTACCCTGTTCTTCAGTGGACCACCGTAGGACCACCACAGAGCAGGTACTATTTGGGTGGTGGGTCTTTATCAGCACTGCAGTGACACTGATGTGGTGGTGGTGTGTTAGTGTGTGTTGTGCTGGTACGAGTGGATCAGACACAGCAGTGCTGCTGGAGTTTAAATACCTTAGTGTCACCGCTGGACTGAGAATAGTCCACCAACCAAAAATATCCAGCCAACATTGTGCTTTGGGCAGTGAAGACCAACACAAAATGTGCAGCAACAGATGAGCTACCATCTCTGACTTTACATCTACAAGGTGGACCAACATGCTAGGAGTGTCTAATAGAGTGGACAGTGAGTGGACACTACGTTTAAAAACTCCCAAACATACTGAACGTGTTGAGGTCTAGACCCAGAGTCATATCTCCTGAAAAATGAATGTTGTACTTAATGACCGTTTTGAATGGAATTGAAATAAATGAAAGGTGGTCTCAAACTTTTGCACAGTATCATGTCAAAGACTAAAAGTATCACCTTGCAGGAGGACAATAACCTGAAAAATACTGCAAAAGCTACTATGTCCAAAAGGTGGGATGTTTTTAATTGACTTAAGTCAATAATCTGACCCCCATTAATTTCATTTACTGAAGGCAAGCAGGCTAAAGGCCCTAAAACAAACAGGAACCAAAAGTGGACGTGTGACAGCCCCAGCAGAGCCTCACCAGGGAAGATACACTGCACTTTAACCTCATAATTATTGTTTCACATAAAGTGAAATGCTGGAATATGAAACCAAAAACCAAAAACTGTCATCACTTCAAATAACATACAACCTGCACCTTATGTGTCTGTATATATCGGCGCCACGTTGGTTGCAAATGTGTGCATGTGTGTCTGTATGAGGCCTTATGCCCATGTGTTCTCTCAGTATACTCAGAGAATCAGTACATTTATTTTGGCATTATTTTAATTCTTTGATTACAATTCACTACTGAGCTCTACTGCTTTGCAAAGCTGCTGAAAAATATACACAGCCTTTGTTCACGGCACCGCTTGGATTAATACTCGAGGGGTTTTGGACTAGGCAGGAGCCATCAGGAGCCAAGCAGGCCAGCCCTGACTCACTGGTGAGGCTAAATGTTAGATATGCAGATATATTTCATGTGATGAATCTGGTGTCTTGCTGTCTTAGAAAATATGCGAATATTAAACAAGTTTCTGCTGATTCCTCTATCAGAGGCACAGATCTACTGTGACAGCAAGCACAAAGCTGAGCTCGGATTAAACGAAATGTCCTGTTTGAGTTCTGCAGTGTGTAACTTTGAGTTGCACAGCCTGCTGCACACATATTTTTTGTCATGTTCCCGTGAGACACCTAAAAACAGATTACCTTTATGCGTCTCAGCGCATCCAAGAGAAACTAAGCTCCTGTTAGCCTGACAAAGTTGTTATTAGACTTTCCTTCACTTTCTTATCCCCTGTTTGCCCCTTGCTGGTGTATTTTCTCTTCATATTTGCACAGTTGTGGATCGACAAAGATATGAATACAAAGACAACACTGAATTGGTCTGTGTCAGCGCTTGTTTTTAAGCAGGATTGAGACTTTTAGCTAGTGGCAAAAATCAAGACACTGCAGCTTTGTGCTGGTAGCTTCTCTGCTGACTCTGAGGCAGGCGTACGGTACAGATGGTCTATCATACTTTTGTGTGTATTTGAATCTTGAAATTAGAAAGTAAGTGAACAAAGTGGTTACCCACACATTCGACCAGTACTGTGTAGCACAACATTCATGCCTGGCTCAGGTTTCAACTGAATGACTTCGAAACCAGCCAACCGCAGAGCTTCATCGAAGACCTGGGGTTGCTGATTCTTAATGTGATTACATGAAACTCTCCTGTTGATACATAAAGAATCTGTTGGTTCCTCAACAACAGAGCCACTCTATGAGGGGCCAGACGCAATCTCATAACGAGAATACACCTCTCGGGACAATTTGTTAAAGGTTTGGTGCTGGGCTGCAATGAAATCTGTTACCAACAGGGTGCGACCTCAGCGACCTCACTGCTGGGCTTTAGTTACATTTAGGGCATCATATGCTTTCAAAGAGGGGAAATAAGACAATTATTTATTATCACCCACCGCTAATTCTTTGGTGATACAAAGCTGAAGTCAGCTATTCACCAGGTTCTTCAAATTTTCCTGTTCCACCTTAAATGGTGCAGCAGTTGCATTCTGCTGCTTCAGGCGTCAATAATGCTGGACTGTTTAAGGTGGAAAAGGAAAGTTAACTAGCTAGCTATTGAAACATCAGCATGCTATTTGGAATTTTTATGCTTGTTATGAAGAAAATAACCATAATACATCAAAATAACATTAAACTAAGACAATACAGTGGTTATTGTAATTTTTCTATTGGAGATTCTTTGGTCGCTCGCGCAGCCATCTTGCCGGTTTTTCTTTTTTTCTCATAACACTCCGTTTGGAGTGTGTCTCTGAAAAACCTCTGTTTGGAGGCCCATGTAGCCCCAACACTTCACCCTACCCCTCTATCTCAACAAAAATTGGGACACCCTAACCCAAGACGTGAACGTGCAAAACAGAGGGCCTATGTAATTTTTTGGGATTTGGAGATCTCTCGTGTGGAACTGTTAATTGCATGCAACTTTTGTAAAAAAATACATAAAAAAAATAAATAAATAACTGTAGAAAATTTTGTCACCCTGGTTGTGCTTCAGACCCCTTTCCCCAAGTGGATGAATCTGATGATTGCATGCGTGTTGAAAGAGTATTCAAAGAGAACCTGGTGATGGGCGTGAAGCCTGATGATGTCTGGTGATGTCTACTATTGTCATCATATCTTTATCAGTACATGTAAGACCTAAACATTGAGCCAGACTTTCTTTCTGAGCCCGTGTGTGACGTTAATATGTAAAGACTTATGATGTGGACCGAAAATCTGATAAATCTGATCTGACACTTCTGACTTTTAAATTATTCTGACTCACAGCAGCATATTCACACCATATTTTAGTGTGCTTGTTTTCCTGACCCAGTAATCCTACTTTTCAGACCTTACATGCCATAGGTTAATGACAGGCCTGCTGTCTGTTGGACACCATTGACAAGTGCGCCTTCGCCCCCTACTCTGAGATCTTCCTTCATGAGTTGATGAATTGGTTTAGAAATTACACTCCCCAGTTTGTTCACAACCTTTTAAGTCTACGTTCACACCTACATTTCTTATGGTTGTCCCCAGATGTTCTCATTATGAGATCACGTCTGGCCTGCGAGACTACTATACCATAGACCAGGGGTGTCCAATCTTATCTGCAAAGGGCTGCTGTGGCTGCAAGTTTTCATTCTAAACAAGTGAGAGGACATCTGATTCCACTAGTTTAATCAATGGCTCAGCCATCAAACAAATGATCATGTGATCTCCTGCTTTGTAGAAATGAAAACCTGCAGCCACAGCAGCCCTCTGCAGATAAGACTGGACAGCCCTGCCATAAACCACAGACCACCGTTAGATCCCCAACAACTGAACCACTTGACCATGTTTTTAGATCATAGAACCACATTACAACAGCATCATTAAGGGTCTGTGAATAGCAAAGCGGTGATGTAAAGCATGTTCATTCTCCCCAAACCAGCAGTGTCTGGTCTTTGTTAACACTTGAGATGCTTCTTGCTAGACATGTCGTTCCATATCCTGTGCATCTCCTCTGGTGAGATCTGGTGCACAGTGACCACCCTGCGGTACCGGCAGAGGCTGTAGCTCATCTTCCAGTGGTTGAAGCCACTGTTCTGGATGGGGTGAACCCCCAGCTTGCGCAAGCACATGCCCACATACACGTCCTCGAGGTGAATGAGGGCCGTGTGGAGGGAAGTCTTATAGATCAACTCTGCCATGTCCCCGGAGAACACGTACCCAGTTCCGGAACAGAAAGGAGGGTACTTGCTCTCGGGGTACATCTCCCTGGACATGTACCACTTGCTGCGAGTGTCCCGGATGGGCCCTCCGTTTATTACATGCCCTGTGAAGAAACGTTGCCTGGGCTTGGCATTTGGTCTCAGGAGGTTCAGAACAAGATTGTCCATGTTGACGAAGATGTCACTGTCAGTCTTCATGACATACTGGGCGTTGGGACAGAAGGAGGATACCCAGCGCATTCCCATCAGGGTCTTCAAGGTTAGGTTGTGGTAGGAGTCTTCGAAGTCTTCCACAATGATGTCATGGAAAATCTGACTCTCCTGCTCCACCATCTGGTTGAGCACAGGCTCGGAATTGTGGCCAAGAAGGAAAAGCGTGACAATGCGAATGTCACTGTACATGCTCTCATCGCCCCACGTCTCCCGGATAGCCTGCCGTGCGTCAAACTCCTTGTGGTTGGTGCTGATGAGGATGAGGAGGAAGGGTGCGGTGCCCTCGCACTTACTTGGCTCGTTGATGAGGAAGCGGAAGCCATGCGGGTTGAGAGTGCGCGTACGGATGTTGCTGAAGGTCATGTTCTTCAGGAGCCTGGGTGATTGCTTGCGGATGGGGATGGACATCTGGCCCACGTAGGCGGTGGATGGCCGGGAGCCGCTGAGGTACCAGAGAGCACTGGCCCAGCAGAGCACTGTGAGCAAGTACAGACATGACACCTTTGAGGGCATCTCGCCACTGGCTGGCTTGCTTGCCAACCAGCCCGCTGGCCAATCACGAGCAGTTATTTAAAGAACATCGCTCCGGAACATCAGTCCTTTCCCCACTTAATGTCTAATCATGCTCAGTTGTATTTACAGTTATAGTACCGATAAAATTCAGACAGAGTATTCAAAGACATTGTACCAAAGGCCCTAATAACCCTGCCAATCATTTCAACTGTAGCAGCAAGACATTTAAAGTCAGGCTTGGAGACTTTAATGAAAAATCACTGTCCTTATAACCATGTCTAGTTTGCTGTGACTGTACTTTCCAGTTTTGATCAAACCTTAAGTAATTCAGCGAAGGTTCCTGTCCTGTCTGCTGTGATCTGTGTGCATCTGTCAACGCTGCAGTGCGTCAGTCCCAGTGGTCATTAATAAAGCATGGAGCAGGTGAGAGCTTGACGTCGAACAGCTTAATTTCAGGTGCTTCAGAATGGCATGGTCGGCAGCTTACTAGAAGTTCAAGCAACCTCTTGAAGCAGAAAACATTGCTGCTGTGATGCTGAGAGAGTCAGAGTTCAGATATCTGGCCTCAGCTCACTGTTCCTCTGTCCTTCCTCCTGTCAATCCCGGAGTCTGCAGGAGGGAAAGAAGAAAGTATACACTTTGTGTTGAATAAGGTATAAACATGAAAAGGGGAAAATGGTGGGAGACAGGAGAGAGAGGGTGTCTAGAGTTCAAAAGCTTGCACTAGAACCCTTCTGTGTGCAGGATGTTTTAACTCCAATTAAACAGGAAATCAATAAGAGCCTGCAGCTCAAATAGGCACCTTCTCACTGTTCATTAACCACACCAACACAAACATTCCCCTCAAACTCCCATCCCCTCAGACCATAACACTATATTACTATTATTTTATGTCTAAGATCACATTAGACATTCAGGGTGAAGACTGAATTGAACTTATATGAGGCAGATTCCATTCACTGTGCTCCTCTCATTTCTGCCTGAACTACAAGTTGAATCACCATAGGGTTCCTTCCGCACTGCGTTATTGCAGGTGCCTATGAAAGATGATCCTCTCTTTGTCTCTCTTTCTTTCTACCTCTAATGCAGTGAAGTACAAGGGCACATTCTTTAACAGGGCGTGCATAGCTATGCTGTATTTTTCCCTTTTTTCTTGGCTCTGTTTCTCCTTCTCTCAAAGTCTCTTTCTTTTTTAGTTCATTAAAATTAGAAAGATATAGCTACCAGTAGAAAACACACAGGGTGGGTCTTTACCGGAAAGTACAGAGTTATGAGTCTCTCTCACGCTTGCTGTCCAGCACTTTGCATTTGCAGTATACTGCAGCAGGAAGGTCACCCCAAGCCATTAGTAAAGGCACTGGACACACAAAGGGAAGACGGGAGAAGAGAGACAGCAGATACAGAGATGGGCAATATTAAGCTTCCACATGTGTGACAATTGAAAGTTGACAGCAGTGATGAGTTTTGCATTTTTATAATTAAACCTCTTAGTGAATTTCATTTAGATTAAGCTCATTAGACTTAGCCACAGGATGTCTGCTATACTGTAATTCTAACAGCCTCATCAGCCATTTGAAAGTCTACCATTTGTCCTTAATCCACATTCACTGCTGAATCATCTAGATCAGTGGTTCTCAAACTGGTATGCAAAGCACCCTGAAGTGGTACGCCAGATGAGCTGAACAGATCAGCTCCTGAACAGTTTAGGAGCTGAACAGATCAGCTCCTAAACTGACCCGCATGCGCAAAAGAACAACGCATCACGTTGCTTCATGTGGCTCATCCAGAGGTAAACAGTGCTGAGGTTCAGCTTCATCTTCGCCAGCATCACAGGAGCCATCATGAAACTGTCTGACAGCTGGGCTCATCTCCCAGAATGCTTGCCGTTCGAGCTTGCCGTAAAAAATACACGTTATTCGGCCACGGCCACGTCTTTGGCTCGTGTCCTCGGATTTTTTTAACTGTTTCTTGATGCTGCAGCCTCGGTCTCCTCTGGCCGTGTTCGGCCATTTCTATTGAAACTTCTTTGAACACGGAGCGTTTTGGATAAGTCTCTCCTAATTTTTGTACAGAAATATCACCCCAAATGAGTCTCAGCAGCGCAAAATTATGACGAATGTCGAGTTGGATTGACGTAAAAGCCGCATGAATTCCGATCGGGCTGTTCAGACTGACTCGCATTACCGCAGATCGGATACATATCGGATTTCAGTCAAATCGCAATTGATAATGTCAGATTCAATGCGTTTTTTGCTCTTCACACTGACACACAGAAAAATAAAAAAATCAGGTTTGGGCCACTTTTACCTGCTGTGTAAACGTAGCCTAAATCAACATTATTGATAATGTTGAATAACCGTTTCAGCCCTAAGCACATCAGATTAATTGTGTGGTGTAGCTGAAAACTCAGATCAAGTTTTACTCTTCTCAGTGTAAGTGCCTTTAGATTAACACATGCAGAGCAGTAGTTTGAGTTCTTGACAGTTACATCTGCCAAACCTGAAATGCTCAATGCATTCAAACGCCTCCACAAGCCAGATGAACAAAACATTAGGATCTCTCCGAATAGTAAATGCGTAGCATGTGGGTATTTTGAACTTCACTGCACCTCTTTTATCGACTGGTACATACATTCAATCTGAAACTGCCCTCACAGAAAACACTGACGTTACAAACGAAAGGTGTTGCAAAACAAATTCATTATGATTAAAAAAGCTCCAGCAATCATTGTGTACAGACATGTTTCAAATCACACAGGGCAGCTCTAAACCAACCTGTGGGATCCTGGAATCGATAAGAACAGCCCATTTGTTTCTGCAAGGAAGACAGCAGGTCTGGCCTGCATTGTTAATGCAGCTGAAGAAAATGATGCAGAACTGAGCTACAGGCATTTTCAAAAATCCCTCAAGCTCCCACTCGCTCTAACATGGCAGGAGTAAGTTCGACACATGCTGCCCTGTTTTTGTGTTTCCACATAGCCTTTCCAAACTCTACATAACCCTTAAAAAGCTGCAACAGATGCAGTGTGTGTGAAATTTCTCGTAGTGAGGGTGCTGATGTGGGCAGGTTACTTACCCTTCATATTCTGATGTATAAAATACTGGATCAGGAATCTTACGCTGAGATACTTGGTCAGTAGCAACTGTGTAGTTTTGAGAGGTCACTCAGGGCACAAATGAGTTATAACATGTAATGGAAACCAATAAATCCAGTCCGTATCAGTTAAGATTGATGGCACCTGTCCATGCTGATTTGACACAGTGAATATTTTTCAAAACCTGCCCTACAGGAACACATTGTATGGTCACAATCTGATCAATGGCGAGTGGATGGAAGATTTGACAGCTAGATTAAACAAGGACAGTTCAAGGAAGAAGGACAAGATGACACAGCAGCAGTAGTTCGTAGTGACGTGATTAAGCCCAGAACAAACCAAACTAGAGAGGCTCAAATCCTCAGAAGCAGCAGTTACTGCTATGGATGTGCACAGGTACTTGAGTACCTGGTGCAGTACAATTCAGTTAAATGCAATGATTTTGCTCATAGTTGTGAGTGAGTACGCTATACTGTGCTATTACAAAGCATGAGTGCCTGAATGAGAGCGCACTGCTAAGGATGTGATCCCGAGAATGTATGTTACGGAGGCTAGCTACTCCAGCTGATGTTAGCTAGATCCAGAAACAATGAAAATTATTTTCTCTGACAACCTGTTGGCACATCGTCCACTGAGGACAACAGCGGACAACAGCGATTCTTCATTACAATCCAATGTGATACTTGTTACCTCATTAGCTCATCTGAAGAAGCGGCCTCCGTCATTCATCCAGCACAAAAACCTAATTTCCCTTGGCTGTTTTTGAAGAATAGAAGATGTTTTCAGTCTCTTTTTGTGGCATTGTTTTTCCTTTTATGTGGTTAACTGTATGACTGTTGAGGAATTCTTATGGATACTGAAATATCAAAATTAGTCGCAACACATATCCTTAGTTATCAGCAGCAATAACAAAAGCATGCTGTAATTTGATATTGAGATTGGGAGATATATTGACTGCATCCATATATTGTTTGTGATACAAACTGCATACTGCTTTTCAGTGTTAGTCTGCAAGACATAAATTCATGAATATTCATGCACACCTTAAAAACAATATTTAATACGGTGATTATTTGCTTTTTAAGTGGCATTTTTCCATGAAATTTCCACCACTGTCATTATGCTGATTTCCATTATCCTGTCAATAGGAATTCATATGTAATATTAACATCAAGCTAACAATTATGTCTGTTGAAATTGGTAGTACTATTCACAGACTCTAGTCCTTGTTGTGTACAGTGATTAGCCAACAATATCTCATAGCACACCAGCACTGAACTCCCTCTAAATTATGCTAATTATCCACATTATGTTCCAGGGCACAATTTTTTTTTTCTGCTAGAAGTGCTCTTGCTGGGTGATGCTGCTTCCGCTAAAACCACAACAACAATAATGTCCGAGTATAAGAAGAAGAGCTTTTGTAGTGAACCCAGGTGTCTGAGCTCAAAGCAAAAACAGTTCTGATGGCTTCTCAGAGTGCAATTGTGCAAACTTTGTCATACAGAGGGGAAGTATCTTTGTGTCAGCATCTCACCGCTACTGATTAACACTGAAGGCAGTTCCAGCTTTAAAACTGGTGCTGTTCACAGCCGCTTTCAGTGGAATGGTTTTCATTAAGCCTCAAAAGCTGTTGTCATTTCAGAGTGCAAGTTGTGTTGTACACAACACATTTGATTACGCCGCTCATTAGTAGCTCATTTTTTTGGTACACCGTATTGCTCTTGCTATAAAGTGAGCCACGAGGTGTAATTTACATATTTTGCAGCATTTTTATCATCATATGTCATTGCCGTTTTTATCTATAATTTAACTATCAGGCATTCTGTACTTCATATATTTTTTTTGTTTGTTTTTTAGCCTCTGACAATGAGTGTGACTTCACAGACTGCATCTCAGTACCTTCTTCTGTAAACATTTTCAGCTTTTGGATTCCAAATGAATCTAAGCTGAATGCTGCTTTGTGAAGTGATACCCCACCCCTCCATCTCTAAGCTTGTATATAGAGTTCATGACTAGTACTGTAATGTTGTATTAATTTGCTAACAAGAAACTTGGCAAATAAACACACACACATACTGACGGGGGGCGTACCACATAGTTATGGGCAAAAACATATGAAGATGTGTACTTAAAAAATGGTAACTTGGCATATTTAAATGTTTTGTGTACAGCTTTGTTTTAAAATTGCTCCATATAACTGCCAAGTTGCCCAGTAATTATTTGCATATAATAAGCTGATGTAAGTTTCACTGTGTAAAGCCAATGTTAGATTCTATAGAACCAAGCGTGCAGTAAACACAGCTTTTATGTCTTAACGCCCAGTGCAGTTTTAAATATTTTTTTCTGCTCTAGGCAGACATTTCATTAGCCAGCATACAGTCATTTATTCTCGGAAGTAAATACAATGGAAAGCAGGTTAGCTAGCAGTCTGGAGCAGGGGGAAAAGCATTTGTACTGTGCTGGGCGATTAAACCCAACATTATTGTTTCAAATTACAGTCAGAAAGGAACAGAGTCTCCACAGGCCTACCTCTGACTACTCCAGCAGGTAAAAACGACACATGGAAGCACGTGCTTTCATAAAACGGGTAAAAGTACCAGTTATTCAAATTGCTCTTCTATTTTCTAATATTTTAAACTGGCAAATGTATCAGATTTGCCATGACAAAAATTACTCAGAAGTTTAAAATGGCACACCAAAGGAAACTTTTTAGCCCAGGCTCCTTTAAGGCCCCCTCCACCCCCCCAGCCCGGGTCTCTGAGTATCCAGTTCCATTACTAGCTGAGAAGCTAAGAAATACGCTCAGATGCATTCTGTTTTCTGCAGACTTCTTCTCCTCCTTTCTCTGCTTTCATTTCCATGCTTGCACTCTTTCTCTGAAAGCAGTGAGGGGTCTGAGTGCAGGTCAGGCCACTATTACACATCCACTGCTCCATGCTGTGAGGACATAGAGCAAAGAGCACATTTAAAATTCATGTGGCAAAACTTTCCTTCCATCGTAACCCGGTCTTTTTCCCAGAGTATGACTCTGACATGGGCCTCAGCTTCACCCTCTGTGGTGGAGGCGGCAGCTTCAAATCCGCAGTAATAGGCATTGATTGAGCAGGGTGACCTTTCTGTGAGCGCCCCACACACACCCACTTACAGAGAGAGAGGGCAAGCAATCCACCTCCTCACAAAACACGCTTAACATCAACATCACACCAGCCACATCCTCACAGCAGGCCTTTTCTCAGCTCCAACAGCAGCCACAGCTTCTTCAGCGTGTTACAGCCAGGCTTTTTAAACAGACAATTTAACGCCTCATCCAGGAACCAAACTGAACCACTTGGGGAAAATATCATAACTGCAATTTTACTGATCAATACTGTGATTGTGATTTTAAATTGTGATTATTTTCTATCATTTTTGTGATTATGGCCATTTTCTTGTTTGAGGCTAGACAGCTGCAGATGCGCCAGATTGCCAGTTAGCTGTGGTTGTGTTGTCACACATACAGTTAAATACCTCCATTTATAACTTAGGACAGCGTTGTTAATAATGTAAGCTACAATTCAATCTGCAGCAGTTTAAAAATGTGCTCTTTCAATCTGATTTCAATATGAAAAGCTCACTTTTAAAGCAACAGGTAAAAACAGCCCTTACCCTAAATTTATTTGATCAGCCAAGTCACGATGAACAATGGGAGGGGAACGCCCCCCCTTAAGAACAATGTCCATTTACTGTAAAGTTAAACAACATCTGTGCATGAGTTTATCATGTACAGGATGATCATGCATATTAAAACACACAGTGAAAGGAAATAAACTGGAACTACTGACAGTTTTGTTTTTATAGCACACAAGTTTACCAATCAAAGTACAACACACAAAATATTATATCTAAAATGAAACTGATGCCTCTATCAGTTCATGGTTTTGTAAGCAGAAGCATTTATTTAGGTTATATGATAAAAAACAAATGACAACAAAATAGAAACATTAAAAGTGTAAATTGTATTTATGATAAAGTGTTTTGTGATTCTATTAAATTCAATTACAGGCATCATTATAAGTATTATTCTTATGAGTAGTAGTAGCAGTAGTAGTAAGAGTGGTGGTGGTGGTGGTTATATGGCATCAATAACAACTTGAACAGCAACTAGAATTTTGACTATAAAGCTAGATAGCCAACTCACAGCCCATCTGAGCTTGATGCCTTAATAATTTAATATATTTGGTGCAGTATTGTAGGTGGGGCCTTCTGGGGACTAAAGGGGGCTTCTTGGCCCAAAGGTCTAGCTTTACATTCCTCTCAAAACCAAATGTACTGCTTAGTTCACAACTTCCAAAACACCTTTTTTCTTGTACAACTTAACATTAATATCATTATTATCCAATTACAAAAAATTTACATCAACTGACCCTGAAACGTTTCTGGGGAAATAAATTCCAGGAAAGCAGTGATTCAGATGAAATTGCAGAATTAATTAGACCACAGCCATTCAGTTGGTGAGCTGACATTAGATTTGGTCCCATCAATTGATCAGGAGAGAAAATTAGGTGGGGGGGCAGCTTACCCTTGGGGGCTTCTTTTGCCATGTTACCCTACTTAATGTTGGAAGTTTCTTTATTTTTGAGTAATGAAAGCTTATACCTCATCAACTAGCACTGTGAAAACTGCAGGTCTAAAAGATCACATACCCGCCTTCAAACCATGAAACAGACTGTCGTATGTGGTTTCACTTTATGACCTACTGTTTAGGGGTGTAACAGTTCATAAAATTCAGTGATTCAGTACAAAAGTGATGTCTCAATTTAACACATTTTC